ACACCGCGCACACCTCTTCCGCCCCCAGCGCTTCCTGCCTGCCGCCTCCAGCGCCCCCTCGCCCCAGCGACATGCCGCCTACATGCCCTTCAGTACCGGACCGAGGAATTGCATAGGTAACAGTGGTAGAGCCCGCTTTTACATGTTCGCACTGCAGGGGCTCGCCCCAGCAATATCACCACCACATAGAAGACAGGCGTAAAGTGAGAGTAATCCTGCCTTTTGATGAGTGTGGTGTCGGAGGCCCAACTTTAGTCCCTTTTTCTCTCAGTAGAAAGAAAGTATTATATTTTATAAGAAAACGATGGGAAGGGAACGTGGATTAGACGGCGAAGGAGACGCAAAGGAAGGGAAAATATCCTGTTTATGTACGTCTTCTTCGTCGATTTAGGGTAGGCAATGCGTTCGCTATTGCTAAAATCTCCGGGCAGCGGTCGCTTCGCTATTTTCGCGGATACAGGTGGTCACTTGCTCGTTTGCCGCCTCGTCATATAAAAAAATGGTATGACACAGTAACACCAGCTCACTTACATCTCCATTTAGGGACTTGAAGCCGTCCCTAGACACTTCACACATATTTATGAATTATTTCTCTGATGTGGTTAGACATCGCAATGCTTCACCGTAAGAATGTTTCTTGTGTTGTTTATTTAAATCTAAAGACCGTGCTTCTGTTTGTAGGATATCAGTACGGTATGATGTCTGTGAAGACAGTGCTGGCGACTCTGATCAGGAGCTACCGGCTGCTGCCCACCCCCCGACACGCGCACCCCGCGCACCCCCCGCACCCCCTGCGCCTCAAGTACGACATCATGCTGCGGGATGTGGACAACTACATGGTGCGCCTGCAGCCCCGGACCGGCGCTGGCGGACGCTCCACCTTGGATACCTTGGACTGAGATAGTCGACATAATGATGCAAGTAACAAGTTTCAATAAACTTTAATGAATTTATTTGATTCTTAATTTTTTCACCATACAATAACTTCATCGCAACTAAGTTTTTCAGCTGACAGTTAATTTTTATTTATACAAAAGTAATTACATAGGAAATAACAAAAATAATTCGTTAATCTAATACAGACATGGTATACATTTCCAAACAAAAGCGATTCCCATCACAATATCTACTTTTTGGAAGAATAAATATTTCGTAAACATTTAAATACGTCTAGATTCTAGTTTGAGTTTAAATCCCCCCATATCTCTTAACATTATGTCAAATTTGAGAGAGAAAAGTTTGTCAGTGTCCCCGGATAGGGGCGAAGGCGGGGGCGGGGACGGCGGCAGGAACTTGTAGTCTCTCAGCAGCGCCGCGACAACCGTCTTTATGGACATAATGGCGTATCTGTAGCCTGTGGAAATTGAATAGCCGTTCAGTATTTCTGCAAAGTCTACTAATTATTCGGATTATAAAAGTCCGCAGTATTCGATACTGACCGACGCAATTTCTCGGTCCCAAACCAAATGGAATGAATGCGTGCGGGTGCCGTGTGTCGCCGCGCAGGAACCGGTCGGGGTCGAAGAGGTCCGCGTCGCGCCCCCACTGCGCCGCGCTGCGCTGCACGCTGCGCACGCTCACCAGCAGCGCGCTGTCCGCCAACAACGTCGCACCTGATGCTAACCGACCAACATTTCATCTTACTTTTACTGTAATACTAAAAATGCGAAACTTTAAATGCATGGATGGATGTTTGTTACAGTTTGTAGTCTAAACTAGTCTAGAAGAACACATAGGCAACTCACTTTTGTTTTTTTTATTCCCCGCGAGCAGAGTCACAGGCGAAAACTAGTAATAGATAAAACCAAAGATTTAAAAACAAAATCAGAAACAAAACAGGTACAATTAGCTGTACTTACGTAGTGTTATATCTTTCGGCACTTTTCTTATTATATTCGGGACCGGTGGATACAACCTCAATGACTCATTAATAACGGCCTCCATATACTTCAGCTTTGGCAGATCTTCTACTTCAATAGATGTCCTCTCCCCCAGCACTTCTAGCAACCTGCTTACAATCGAAGCTTTAAAAATGTTAACCGAGAATTATATCGGCTGCTTTCTAATGAAGTTGTGAGCACTCACTCCTCGTAGAGTCTGTCCTGTACGCGTGGATGGTGCGCCAGCAAGCAGCAGAGGAAGGAGGCGGCCACCGCGCTGGTGTCGCCGCCCGCCAGCGCCAGCACCAGCATCTCCTCGCGCAGCTCCACGGCCCGGGGGGTGCCGCCTCCCCCCGGCGCACCCCCGGCCCCGGGGGCGCACATCAGCAACTCCATAAATGACTTCGGATGTTTAATGTCTAGAAAAAAAATAAAAATTCCCTGAAACATACCATAACTAAGGGTATACAGACATACAAAGCTCCGCTGTTTTTTATATGATGACTATAACTCACCCTCATTTGTGTTCGCATTCTTATTTTTTCTCAATCCTTTCTTGGAATTGATTATCTGCAAACAAAACACTTTACAGTCTATGTTACGCATACCATATAAAACTATCGCAATTAATAGTATTTTTATTAAAAAGAGTCAAAAGGAATGTATTTGAATAATAGCATTAAATTGTTACCTCGTCGATAAAATCCCACATGACCTTAATACTTCTGTAGTAGGATGTATAGTTGGGATTCAGCTTGAAGACCGCCTCCACTGCCAGCAGCGGATTGCTCATGCGCAGGAGGGCGATGCGGCAGAACTCCTCGAACGCGCACAGAAACTCACTGCGGTCCTTCTCATTGCTCTCACCTAAAATCGACTCTACGTCGAGAAACAATGATTTATATGAACCACTGATTTATTAAAAGGCATGCCAATAGATAATTAAATAAAGAATCAAACCACAGACAGACTCCAGAGTGTAAGTGGAGAGATACTTGGCAATGGAGAGTGTGCCCCGGCCCGCCGCCGGCCGCAGCCGCTCAGACAACTCCGCGCTCTTCCTACTGAATGTGGCAAATGAGTCGCGAAGATGTTTCGTTGAGAAAATCGGGGTTATCAACTTGCGCCGCGACCGCCAAATTTCAACTAAATTAAAAAGTAACAATCAACAAGTGTGGATGGAGGTTTGAAAACAGAAAATCACAAAGTCACAGCCTTCGATCTACATTACTAAATTGATTTATTATTCTTTAATAGGCTTGCTACAGTAAGGACTCAAAATTGGCTTTCTTTAAGCTGCTTATTATGAATTTTTAAGCTTTTGAGAGACTACTTTCTAAAAGAAAATAAAATACTTAAGAACGTACTGGGCGCAACGACGGAGCCGTTCCCGCAGAGGTGCCGCAGGATGTCCGACATCGCCGTCTTCGCCAAGCACTGCCGCAGCGCCAGCTCAGCCACAACGGCATCCGACGTAACTACACAACAAATGTACCTTAAGTGAATCTTTTATCTGGGAAAATTTGTTATTTCCTTCCTGAACTTACTTGTGTATAACGTACGGCCGAACCACGTGGCGACGATACCTCCCTTCTCGATCGCTTCTCTGCCCATTGCGTCCAATCTTCTCATGCGGTCTAAAACGTTATTATGTACATAATTTTGATAAATTCCTTTCTGTCTGGAATGAATTGGGAAGTGCAGAACTTATAAATAGCAGTAGTACACCCTCACCAGCGTCGGAGCCGAACAGCAGGTAGGCATGGCCCAGGAGTGGCAGCGCGCGCCGCCGGCTGGCTGGCTGCGCGCTACGTCGCAACACGCGCCACATCCTGCACTGCTCGTACACCATCCATAATATAACTGATATCAACACCAATGCTATAAACATTGCGAGTCTTAGCAATTACAACTCCTCTTTAACTGGTAAAGCCCTCAATATTCAAACAACTTTTAATAATTATTTATATTATTATATTATATATTCACTAGGTTCCAATAACTTTGATAAAATAAAATCTATCAGTACGTTTACTACTTATATAGCACAATTACTTAATTACGTCAGTACTAGAATAATTCTAGCTTTTATTGACATAATAAATGTTATAGCGCTAAAAAATAGTTGGCTTGCATTAGAGTATCAACTTGTAAAACTCCTTATTTTTTTTATTTAAAAAAATTGCAAAAATAAAAAAAAACACTTCAAATCGATCCTCACACACTAGTCATCAATTTATTCGATCCATTATTGCTTACAGCAATCATTATGCCAATAAACGGAATAATTCTAGTACGCAAGTTATTATTTCTTAATATTGACGCAAATTAGCACAGCAATTGAAGGTGTTGGGGAACATAATGGTAGCTCCGATTTTACATTTCCACTAACCACTAACAATGACAGCTACTTGAAACTACGACATGGAAAATGCGTAGATGTAAAATTGCTACTCTTTTATTGCAGGCCCTTGTCGAATTTAAATATTTTTAAACTAATTATTTGACCTCTTATTGCATTTATTTCAATGCAATAAGGGGTTTACTGTATCTACGAAAATGTTCTTTTTTATTATTTGCTGCTCTCTGTCCACCCCTGTATAATTAAAGCAAGAATTTAATATCTTCAGATTAATTATTAGCTTCATTAAAATATTTCAATTAGTTACAATGTCTAATAAATACATTACAAGTGAAGTGTGCATAGGTCATTCTAAGCCAGGGAAGCTGCCCTTGTCTGCTATGGCTCATTTTTCAATTATAAAAGTAAACACTTTTACTAATATGATAACTTGTTTTAAATCAAACATTCTTTCTTCTAACACAAACAAACATACTTTAAACGTATCTGAAAACAGTTAGTAATTGCTGTGAGTTTCGACTAAAATACTTGTAATAAATGTAATGGATGAAAATATGCGAAAAACACAAATGTAAATGTTGGCTGACAGAGTTCTGGTTATATCATTAAATGAAATAATTGTTGACCAGTAAACTCAAGCTAAATATGTTTGCAATATATTGTACACCAAATGGTACTAGTTTCAAGCTTAATGCAACTTACTGTTTATCTTTAAATAGGGATGTGCTTTGAAGCAATCCAAATTAACAAAACGAGTATTTATTTCAGACATTCGAATAAAAGCAAAATATCTGCGTTTCTTCCTTTTTGTTTCCTCCAACATTACTTACAATTGTGAATCTTGATATAGGAACGCGATATATCCCTGGCCACTTTCTTCCAATCTATCGAAATTTGCTAGGTTTAAAAAAACACAATTGTACAATATTGCTCGTAGATTTGTAACAATTGTAGTTTTTATAATTCAGGTGTACAGTTTGCTCAGCCCTGAACGTGTTTACGTCAGTTCAGTCAACCCTCAGCCACTTCCTGGTCCCCGTGTAGTTCCCAGTTCGCTCCCGCCGCACTCGCCACTCGCCACTCGCCACTCGCCGCGGAATCAAACCACTCGTCAATCATATAAACAATGTAAGTGTTTATCAATAAATGTTTAGTCCTTTTCTACGTTTGATTCAAAATAATTCTTGTACGAGCAAATAAATAAGATGTTTAACTTTTAACCGTAATTATTTATTTATTGTCATTTTCCTTCTCAATGCTATGTAAAGCTTGATAATTTAATATCTCCCATTCTAACGTACATCCAACAGACAGTTCGCCCTGTTTCGCTAAATCTATTTACTTAGTTGTTTGAACTTTGCAGATGCAGTGCTTCATCTGCGTAATATATTTGGTAATATCCTGCAAAGGTCTGCCTCACCAGGACCGTGAAATATCATCAAGTGGAAACAATATATCAATTTCAACTAATGATAATATAGAAGCTATACCACAATCAAATGAAAATGTCGAAATATCAGAACTTGTAGATCCGCATCCAAACCGCACACAAATAAAACTAAGTGAAAATAGATTAGAGAATGACGAAAAAATAAAACCACACGAAGAATTTAATTTAACAACAGTCAAACCTATGAGTGCATCAACAGAAGAATCTATTTTCTCCGGAATAAATAAGGAATATATCAAATACATGATAACTGGAGCAAAAGGAAGTGATCAGCTTTTTAGACCGATTCTAAATGAAATGGAGGACATGAGTCAAATCGGAGACACCGATCGTCTGACAATCATCAACCCAACAGTCATCGTCAACTTCCGCGGCACTATATGGAATAAAGATAGTGATATAAAATTAGGTCAAAAAAAGAAGGACAAAAGGAAACCTGAAAACATATTTGAATAACATTTCGACGTAATCTAGCAAAAGGAAGTATGAAACAAACAGCCAAGAAATAACAAAGATATGCTCCTTGCTGAAGTAAATTTAAAGTTTATTACAATTGTGTTAACAGAAATCAGACAGCTGTATTGAATTTAAACAATAACAATGTCATGATATGTTAAATTTTGTAACTTTGTCTGCAATATTTTATAGTTAATGTGTGCAATTACTTTAAATGGTTGTTTTACAGCACTATGTTAAATTAAAATAAAGAATTTATAAACTTATTAGTAATTTCTTTCTTTAAAAGAGATACCTTTCTATCACAACCATATTAATCTGGCTTAAATTTTGCATGGTAAAGAGATAACGTTCAACGTGTTTCTGGAAAATATTATGACAACAAAATCCATAACCAAGCTCAGTGTCACTTACCTTTTTACATTTTCTAGTCATCATTATGAAAAACAAAAGCAATAAGTTTCATTCAGTTGTCGCAGCACCTCATACAAACGCATTTCATAAGAAAAACGAACAAAATAAAATACTGACACAACTACTTTATTATCCGGTAGCAGAAGATTCATAATTGCGTATCAAGTTGCTATTAAATGTGCAAATCACAATCAGTTCCGGATACTGGTAGTTCCCGTATTAGAAGACAGGTTACTATTTCAACCAGAACAAGGGTTGCCAACGACTATGGGAACAGAAACAACGTCCGAACAAAATTTACTTTTGTTGTCTGTAGAGTTGTTAAACTGAAATAGCTATGCACAGGTTTCTTTAACGTGCAGTTTTTGACAAAATTTTGACGAAATTAGATTAATGTGTATGGTTTAATAGATCTTAAAATTTACCTAAAACATCCTACAAATAGTAGAATACCAGTAAGATACGTTAAACATAAATGATCTTATTCCTTGGGCACCCCTGGAGCAGTTCAGGCGGGTTCAGTCAACCCTCTTGTGGCCGGAGCTGGCAGCGCGGTGCAGTCGCCAGCCGTCACGGGGCCCGGTCACTCGCGCACTCACGCTACAAGGTAAGACATCATACATCATGTTCCCTATTCATTTATAGTTAATTTGCGTAAACTGAACAATAGTAGAAATGCTTCTTTTGATTTACAAGTACCTCAAAATCCCAAAACGTACCTAACTTTAGGCATTCTGTTGATTACATAGTAAATAACCTCTATTTTAGTCTAGTGTATAGTGCTAGTTTATAAATTATTTTATTCCAGATGCAGTGCTTCATTTGCGTCACCTACATGATAATACTGTGCACCGCACAGCCGACCAGAGACCAGACAGTAGCTACAACACACGAGAAGCGATCTCTTTTCCAAGACGTCATCGAGTCCCTGCGGATACGATCTCAGCTGCCCGAAGAAATCAACCACAGCGATGACAACAACTTGTCTCAAAATTATAACGAATATGGCTTCGACAACGAACCACCCGAACTTCCGAGCGACGCAGATTTTGTACCACGACGTAATGATCGTATTGAAATGCCTACATTGAAATACAGATTCCCTAAAAGTCTTCAGATGAATGGAAGTGATATTAAAGTAGAAAACAAAAAAGAAGATATAATCGTATATGTGAATACGCCGTCAGATATACCGGAACCCAGACTCACAACTCACAAACCAAAAAAAGAGCCAAAACCAAATAGAAAAGTGAACTTTGTGAAACAAAACGAAAGTGATGAAGATATGACAGATGTAACAAGTGACTTGATAGACGATAGTTATAGACCTGTAATAAATAAAATGGCAGATTCGAGTCAAATCGGAAACAGAGAATATCAAACAGTAATCAAACCGACCGTAATTGTGAATTTCCGCGGCTCGGTCAGCCACAGAGACAGCGAGATCAGATTAGAAAAGAGGAACAATCCTAAAAGAAAACAAGATCTGGATTCTGCGCGCAACATATTTAATATCAATCAAGAGATAAAATTGGAACGTCCCAATGGTACCATAGATGTGGAAGGATTGAGACACCTGAGCAGCGCAGTAAAGCAAGGCGTCAACGTACTCTCAGATAAAGTGAAGGAGAAAGTGGACGATGACATGACGGCGTGTGAGACGCCGGCCGCGCACGCACCGCCTGCGCCGGGGAGCGACCGCAGCGCACGGCACGATGTAGACGACAATATCCTACAGATCGTAGTTACACTTTAATTTAACAGAATTTAGTATTAAGATAAATAATTTTAATAGTGTTAAAGCCTTGATTCTTCAATGAATTACATTTTTAATAAGTATAATAGTATAAGAATGAGGTGAAAGACTGAATTGGTATGCTGATCTCTGGTATATGGTCAACTGTTCCCAGCGATTTTTGAATTAATAATAAATATATTTTAAAGCGAGGGAGTTTTTTTTAGCATATTATAGAAATGTATGCACACTTTATTGGTCTTTATAAAGTACACGATTACAAGTATTTTCATTGACAACTTGAAGCTTCAATATAAAAGTTAATTTATGTGTTTAATTGACTCAACAAAATGTCAACGGAAAAACTTAATAGGCGTAATGATTTATCAAACTTGTTTTAATTTATTAGAGTATCTTCGGTAGTTGTTTCGGTTTATTGAAAATGCTGATAGAGATTTTGTTGAGGCGAGCAGGTAGTCTATACTATTATAATAAAGCGTAAACACACAATTCTTTGTTGCCTAAGATGTCAGCAATTACAGCATATTTTTTAATAATTATTTTTTTAATAAAAAGTCCTACAGTTCCTTCACGCTTTAGGCTATATATTTCCAACATCAAGTTGCCAACATCAAGATAGGAAGATTGCCGAGGTTTTTCATATCATGTCATTTTGACATTTGCAATTGAGAATTTGACAAATGTAAACAATAAAATAAAGTTTTCATAATTTCATGCGGATGAAACTGCACGAGAACAGCTAGTTATTAATAATTAACAATTAAGAAGTGCAATGGTTGTTCCCTTTTATAGTAAATAATTAATAATAACGTCAATTATTACCATCTTAGTTAATGTCACTTATAAATAAATAAGTGAAAGTATAAATAATGTTTTATCGGTCCAGAAAAAGGTCAAGATACACAAATTACGTATTTACATCTAACAAATTTATTATCAAGCAAGATGTCGTGGGCGGACCTAGAAGACAATAGTCAACACCGGTTATGATTCTACAGGAATATGCAATTTTGCTAGTTTTGTAATTAAAAAATAGAGTACATTAGCTAAATTTTCATCCTCTGCTCTAATGCGTACTCTTACAGTCTCTAGACCTTAAATTCCTTTTAAATACTTCTACCACTTAGATATAACTAAAATTACCTTTCTAAAAATATCAAGGATTGGAATTCGACGCTTATAAATTATATCAAGTTCTATTGCTCTACAAATGTCAAGGTAGGCTTAACATTTTCGTCAATCGTCGGACCTTTTAGATCATTACTTTAAATGAATTCTTGTTCTTGTCTACGGGTGATTTAATTTTTAAAATTAGGTATAATTAATAAAAGAATTATAAACCTTAAACTTAGTTGCTGGTATCTAAGTGGTGAACAAAATGCAGGAGAACAGGAACATTCGTGCAACCGCTGTTCCTTCAGAGTTTGTCACTGCACTGTAAAAAACGTCTTTTATATTTAAAATCTTCCCAGGCTGGGAATTTTATTATTTGTTATGTCCCTTGTTTATAAAAGAAACAAATAATAAATTGATGTTTACTTCATATCGCTCTTAAATCTATCAAAACTTCATAATAGATTGCGCGTATGTTCTTTACTTATAACGTGTATGTACGTTGGAGAAGCTTATACTGTTTTTTGTGCTTTGGATTCAAGTCAACTAGCACACTAATTAGCACTTAACATTTAATTGGTAACTTAACGTCGATGTGTCAGAATAGTACGCTCATCGTATGTTCGTTGACCTCATCAACTTGACTTGCGATTATAATTTAACATTTCGACTAATTCCAAATCAGATGTTGCTTCGACACGCATATTATCTGTAAATGAATAGATAATAAGCGACTCTGAGAGTATTTATCCTTAAAAGTTTGGTCGTTGTTGAGATACCGTTACTAGGTCTATATTCGCAGCCCACGTTTTCCGTTTTCTGAAACATTTATTTTGTAATAACGCCTTAAATGATTTTTGCTTAGATTATAACTGTAAACCTTTTGGATAAACAAGATTGCTAACGACTAGTGACATCGAGTAATTTATTTGAATATCTACGTATTTCACCCCAAGAGTATTCCGATGAGTACATGACAAGTTTATATACCTTTTACTTAATTCGGAATAAAACTTGGGAATCAGAATTTTTAATAAAATAATTCATCTTCAACTAATTATATTCAGGCCATAACAAATTTATGGCCTTAATAAACCGGAATTGACAAGTCAGGGATCAACGCTCTGATCACTTCACTTTATCAATGTTACCATGACCACATAACATGACCAATGACGCGCCTATGCAAAATATATTTCCGTCTCTGTTTTTAATAAGAGATTAAGAAAGATAGCATGATTGTGTGCGGGTGTTCCGGCAGTGGACACGCAATCCGGTGCACAGGTCGACGGAACTAGATTGATTGCCATCATTGCCATTTTGAAGCTACATTATACAACGTTGTACAAGTTGTTTCGCGAATAATTAAGTAAAATTATTACTGTTATGATCAGAATAGAAAATAAATCAATGTACAAGTGATTTTTTTTTACTTAAATTCTTATAAATAAATCAAACAGTCATAAGATCTGTTTACTAAACAGCCATTCGAAGAAAAACTTTTGTTAAATTTTTAAGTTCTTTAAATACAATGTAGATACTAGTTGTTGACGTACAATAATTAAAAATATTGAATTAAAAAAGGAAGCTTACAAAAACTTGGTCAGATATCAAAACTTGTCGTAATTTTTCAAAAAGTCAGCGGTCAAGTTCAAGATCGTCTCAACTAGTGCAGGGAACAATTATTGTCGAGATTTATCGATGAAATAAAACAACTATTTTGTTACTCCTTTTTCCACTAAAGTCAATTTAATTTTCATTGCATTTAAGACAGGATTGTCACTTAAAAAAAGTATTATTGTGTTACGTGAATAGAAAGATATAACATAAAATATAACACACAATTTACTTTCAAATGTTATGTGATTTATTTTCGCTATTTACAAAAACAATAAAAGTAACGGTATTTTTTCAAAAAAGAAAAATTAAAAAAGTCACTTAGACTTTCACATTTCCCATCCTTAGTTCCTTACCACGCGAACTCGATTCAAAATCACTATCGAGAAAAAATATTTACAAAGTGCGTCAAATGTCGATATTTTTTAATTTAGCCCATGAAGCACAAGGCAGAACAAAAGTCCCGTTCTAAAAATAAAATATACTGTGAGATATCGAAACGAAACAAATTGCTAGACTCGTTACAAAAAATAAACGGACCTTAAATCTCGATTCTGAGCTAAAGGTTACTGGAATAGGTGATTGTAACCGATTATTATAATATATGCCTTCTCAGAGTTGTATGGACGAATACAATAATGGAGTGGCACAAAAACTTGCAAAGTAATTATAACGCTAGGATATTTGCTTAGTAATTTTTCTTAAAAATGATTAACTCGTAGAAAACAGTTTTTTTTTTTAATTTAGTCAAAGTTTATAAAATGCTGTAAATCATTTGAACAATACTTTCGTTTCGATAGTCAAATGTCACTCATACATCCCGTTATATTTGAATTTGGTGGTATTTGTGGCTGCTCGTTCGGAAGCGAGAGGAGCTCGTAGTAGGTGCACGAAATAAGATTAAGCAAAAAGCTTGTGGGTCCGCAACGAGCGTCAAACACGCGACGACCACGGGCCAGTGCGCGCGTTCGCAGCACGATTATTGTTATTGTTTTTATATGAAATAAATCGAGGCAAAGGCGAGATGTCACAAAAACTGGTGATTACGGTGAGTGAGTCTTAATACCTTATGCACTAGGCGTAGCTCACAGGTATGCGGCGGGACCGGCTCAAGCTCTTTTCTTTTTATATTTATTTATTACAACCTTTTAACACTGCATCCAATATTTTTGTTTCTGTAAATTTTTGTGTTGTTCAACGTCGTTCGATTCAATCAGAAACAATGGCGCAGCGGATGAGGCAGCTAACTTTTTAACCGGCTATTTACATTCGATTCCAACCGACGCATAAAACAACAAAAGTATAAAAACGTTTTAAAGATTTTTTTTTATTTAATTGATATGAGAGGAAGCGGATCATCATTGCAAGTGATAAAAATCTGACTATAACCACAGCCCAGTGAATACACTTTGGGTAAACAAAACGACAAGCCGCTTGTGTCTTCAATAAGCTGAGCTCGTTTAAGTTCCTCGCACGTAGTCTGTGTTTTGCCAAAAAAAAAAATAACTGACAAAATGCACATGCGTTACTCAGTACAACCAAAACTCTGCATTTCTGTCGAAGGATCAGTACACGTTGATTAATTTTGCTTGTCATATTTTCTTCTGATATGTCCTAGCACTAAAAACTTCATTATGAAATAACTATACTATGGTCCAAAATAATCGTGCTCAAGAATCGATAGGTTGAACTACTTAATATATTCATTAGAACATCTTAATATGAAGGGCAACGTAATTAGTTTCGCCAGGATACAACTTTGTACATTTCGGAATGTAACAGGATCTATTACATCATTAACTAGAAATAGATCTCAATTAATATCCAAACGTTCAAAATCAGTGTAACTAATAGAATTATATTAACTAAACATTAACATATTTAATTCCGTGTGCCGCTGAGCATCCTCGCCCTCGCGGCCTTCGCGCAGGACGCGCTAAGATTTTTAAATATCCGTTCATCACTTCATTATAGGATTTTTTATATTAGGTAACACTCTTCCATGGAGGTCTAATTTACCTATTTCTCTTAGTAATAACATGAGTAGAAAATTACATTAAAAAGTACAAAGTTTTTTAAGGAATAATTGCAAAGAATGCTTTATTAGTCACGGCACTTACTGTAAAACAACAGTATTGCTTTAAAAGTACTGTGAATAATGTATCGTTACGATAAGCAAAGAGGCTGTTAATGTCGTCTCCGAGTTGCACTCCGCCTCCCTCGTGCATCAAAATCAGCATTTTGTTGAAAAACGTGCGATTAAATTAAAATATAACTAATGACGATACGGACAAAGTCGCACGACACAAAGCTAAGAAAGTCATTGTGATTACTGAGGTCATTGCTCCCGATCCTCCGCGAATTTCGTCAACACATGACTTTATATCGACATAATTTAGTCGCTCCATTTTGTTTTTTTTACAGATTTATCCTCATCAATATACGTATCCGCTGTCTTTTTAGATAATTAAATATATTCGATATATAAATATTCATTAGGTTTTATTATTTGCTTTAAATTGACGCGTCTAAATTATTCTTCGACTCGGATTGATTAATGATTTTTTTTTATTATTTCCCATAGTTATGTACAAAGGATGTTGCTAAAATGCCTCACTCTGTCTCCAATTATCTCTCTGTAATTTCTAACATTACATGTAATGTTAGACGACACATTTTGATTACCATATTGAATTAATTTAATAGCATTTTACAGTTCATAAAAATCATTAGCCGAAAAGTTTTACACATTTTCTGTTTATCATATTATAAATTCCCAGTGCGTTCAGTTAATTTAGGTTCAAATTTAATTAAGGTTCAAAATTGAGCTAGTTTTATGTAACAGATTACTTTGAATATTTTCACTTTTAACACAATGTGAGGCAATTTTTAAATCGCATTCATTGAGTTATCCAGTCCATTTGAGCTCCCACGGTATCTGAGGTTAGTTGTACTGCAAACTTTCCCAGCGACAGATTTAATGCATCCTATATCTTCCTGCAAACGAGATCATGTCCGGTATCTTAAGACGCACATTATTTACAAATCTAGTTGTACTGGGCTTAATAATTTTGTGGCCACAGTAGTTGTTTTGTTTAATTCATGAGAAGAAATAGATGCATACCTAAAGGGTATACTAAGCCTCAGAGTTAGTAGTATAATTTAGAACGATTTTTTGTGCTTTTTGTGTATCTTTCTGCAGGTTCTTTAAATTATATACCTATACCTAATTAAGTAAACATATGTAACGTACTCGTAATTCGAAATTACTGTTTCACCTTCACATTTAAATTACATAACAAATAACATAAAAACAACCAAATAAAACTTTCCCTTTGAGTAAACTTTCCGTTGGTTATTATTATGTAGATCACCGATTTATTTAATGACATTGATAAAAAACAAAGCGAGTGAAGCACAGCTTAACGCGTTGCCTTTAGTAAGTAAATGTACAACACTATATTACTCGGCACAATTAAGTTACATCTATGAATTATAAATAAAAATATATTTATTTATTACATTTTTATTACACCACTTCATAATTAAAGATGGTAGGTTTTCAATTCATCTGTTTGTTTTTACAATTTTATAACTAAATAAAAAAAGTAATAAAAGGTATTTTCAGCACTTTAGATGTCGCTTAGTTGCCTCTTTAATATCAATATAAAGCAGTGGGCACACAGCATCAATGAAAGCTAGTGGTTATCTGCAGCCGCGCGCGGCCTCATTGCTTTCACCAATTACTTCTTTGTGCGATCAAAAATAAACATATTTCTTATCTGCACTTCATGACAAACTTTCTAATTCAATAAAAATTTAACATTAAAACAAAATCATTGCCAGATACTTCTATGATAAATAAAAAACAACTGTACTAAGCATCACTTAGAGATATTCTTTGCTCATTACGGCGATATCCGTTCCCATTACCAACTTAATGCTCAGTATATCAGCTAGAGTTCAACTCAAAAATATCATTAGGTTCATCATAGAAAGTGGGTTGTTATGAGAAAATCGCCTCCTCGCGACCTCACGCTTGGCTATTTATTGAATATCTCGAGCAAGTAAAAGTCACAGAGTCTACAAGAAAGTTTACAGTACTCTATACTTAGCAAGTTCTCTATGTTATCTAACTCCACACATCTGTATATAAAACAATTTTCTATTTGAATTAAAAAGAAAAGTTAAATATAATATTTCCTATTTCACAAGCCAAATACATAAAACACGTATAATAACAAAATAAGTCCAAGATTAGATAGACTATGAATAGCGTTGTTAGACTTGTCAGATGAACATCTAAAAACATAACAAGTGTCTCATCTAGCCGACAAACATCATACATGCGCTCAAACAGGCACTATTCGGGCCATCGAAAGCCAACTCGACTGACACGGTCATACAGCTCGCACTTGTTTGATTAACAAACATTTATCTAACATACAGTTACATACATTTATACTTCAAACTAGAAAACGTTTAATTTTCAGAAATTCTCTGCACTTTTGCTCATTTATGTCTATTGTACTTTCAGTTGGTGTTGGCGTGCGCGGCGCTGGAGGTCGCCACGATGCCGGCCAACGTGTGAGTTGCTTCTGTTTTCGATCCTCTTACCTACCGAAATGATAGTACTATTACTACAAAAATTATAAATATTTAAATTTATGGATTTTGTAGATAAAGCAACAAATTTATTAGATTGCATTTAATGTTTTATGTAGTAATTATTGGAATAATCTTAATAGACTATGTAGAAATCAATAGCACTAAAATGTTTCCACTTTTATGTGTTACTTACCACTCACCACCGCCTCATTAGCACCCCCCCCCCCGCGCGTCGCAACGCATCCGCACAAACTAACCTTGTAGTGTAAACGTCTTCGGGACTTCTACATTATAAAAGTTCGCGCCTCGCTGGGTCAGGTATGCTCATTCATAATATTATCCAATAGCACCGCTACATTGTACATACAGTGCACGCAATATTAATTCGCTTGGGCTTGGTGATCGACGGCGACGAAGAATTGTTATAAAAATATACGTATGTATATTTCAGACCTTCAACGCAGAGCACAAAAGAAGAATCTACAAACAAATCTGAAGAAAGCAATGAAAGATCTCTGACGTACAACGAAAATATGACGAACTCCAAGACTGATAAAATTCTTGATCAAATCCAATCTATCAATCAAGGTTTAAGAGAACCTGATAAGCCAAATGTAGTCCCCAACAGACGAGCACAAACTGGAGCCGAATACGTTATTGATGAAGGCACATTTGACAAAATCCAACAAATCGTGGCGTCCATCAAACCTCGCCCGTTCTCGCAGCAACAGGACGATAGCTACGTAAATAATGTCGACGATTTGAGCCAAAGTCTTGCGAGATCAAAAGCATTAAGATTTGATACAAATTCGATCAGTAATGACGTCTTACCCGCGGCGTCTTTGCCTTACATCACAAGTATACCTGTTATGGTGATCCCCTCCAAGCCTGATTTATTTGATACAAAAACTGCAATGAACTTAATACGACAAACCAATTATCAAACAAGACAAGATTCGCCATCATTCCCATTTCAATTTCAATGGCCGCTAGCCTCTTTTTTTCCAATATTGGTGAAAGATCCTCTCCTGGGATTTTTGCACGGTGGGGGTTGGAACAATTTTTTTGAAGTTGGTCAAAGCGCCGACGTCTGCAGTCGACGACAGAAATCACGCGACACGAGTGATATCGAAAGTGATATTTTTAGCGACGCTATTGAAAACCGATCAAGTGATTCTCCGCATGTAACAAACATAAAACGTCATTCTAGAGTAACTCGTTCCCTTAAAAAAAGGAACATTCCCACACCGAGTCCCCTTCTAAATACAGACAACGGCAAAAAGTCGAAAAAAGTCTCTTTAAAGCCACTCTTAACACGAACAAAAACTAAGAAACCACAAGTGGAACAAGAAAAAGAAATAATTGAAAACGGTGGAGACCTACGTTTTCCTTTTAGCGATTTTACTTGGTTCGGTAATAAAAAACCTGTAGCACCTAGTCCAGGTTTCTTTATAAACAAAATGAAGGTGAGAAGAGGCGGCGTGGCCATTGCCGGCCCGGGTGGCGTGGCTACGGCCGGACGAGGCGGCACCGCCATCGTGGGCCCGGGCGGGCTGGCCTACACGCAGCCCGGCGGCCTCGCCGTCGCGGGGCCCGCTGCACGCGTCATCGCTTTATCACCGTACACCGACCTAACATCACTCGTATCACGCCTTCATCAACAATCCCTCGATGGATCGATGCCGAGATCATTTAACCCATTGTCCGAAGGAACACTCGTAGCTACTGGTCCTGTCATTTACTATCATCCGTACGAGCAGAGATGATTTTGGTCTATGTTATTTCATATTATCCTAAATGAACTAACATTTATTTGTTTTACCCGCTCACTAGATACTACAACGTTCCACATGAAAGTATAGAAAAGACAAGAAGAAACTCAGGTAATCAAGCCGAGTATTACTACAACGGAATGGATTTTGAGGAAGGATATTCTGATAACTCTACGATTGTCATACATTTAAACCCGAGGGCACACGCCCTGACCGGACCGTATGGGATTGCAATTGCTAACCCGATATCACAGGTGATAGTGGGGAGAAACAAACAGGTGGCAGTGGCGTACGACCCCGAGGCGACGGCGGTGGCCGGGCCGGGCGGCATCGCTCACGCTCAGTCTGACCTCTACCTTTATGACTTTAAAACAGACTAGGAAGATGTGCTTATACTAATTATTTGAAGAATTAAATTTCCCAAAATATCTTCGATCATGTTCTTGAAGCTATTTTTTGAATTTTGTTAAACGTGCTAATATCATACTAAACCTAAAAATATTAAATCAAGTGAAAGCATTTTTTTGTTTCATTTCTACTACCAAAAACAAGTTTCTTTCCTTAGTGCTTGTTTGCTGATTAGTTTTAAATTTGCATTTAAGCTGGTATCCCTTTGACTTAATAAAGAAGGAAGAAATAAATTTAACATCAGTTTTTTAAAAACAAGTAATTGAAATGTACACTTTAAACATATAAAGTGGTTATTTTACAAAAGTATCCGAGTTCATTTCACATTGACATTATTGATGTGAAAGTGTGTAAGAGAACAAAGTATAAGTGCGTGCCAAATTACAATTTAGTAAAAAGGCAATTAGGTTTTGGTAAATAAATAAAGGTAACATTTTATAGGGCATCTACACAATATCTGCCGTTTTACGGAGGCGCCAAGGGACAATATTTAGAAGTACAGAAAGACACAAAAGGATTTGTTGTAAGCGAAAAGATAGTAGCGGAAGAGAGCATTAGCAGCGAGAACATAGTGAAGAACAACGACGATAGTCTGCTGTCGCGGGTGCTCGCGACCAACCTGCTCAGCCTGCGCACGCTGGCCGGCAGCGCGCTGAAGCTGCTCACGCTGGGCAGGAGGACCGGCGCCTTGAACAACAACAACAAGGCCCGGTTCAGGACGCAGCTCACCTCTCTCGGCGACACCGCCTCCAACACAGTCAAACTGATCGAAGAGATCGGTGAGAATATCGACGTACTTTTCAACGCCAATGTGACGCTGCTGCGCCGCTACGAGGATGATGAAGATGACGATGTAAGTAATATTGACTTGCATAAAAAAATGTATTTTAGAGAAAACATTTATCATAATATACTTATAGTATTTTTCTACGAATAATAACGGGTTGGAAAAATACTGTAAATTAAATGCATGTTCTTGTTCCCAGGTGAGTGAGGAAGGCATCGGAGTGGACGCGCCCGAGGACGATGACGACGAGGACATGGATACAGAGCTCGGCGACTCAAGAATCGCTGAGGCCAAGCCAGTCGGTAAGTACAAAAACAAACACAATGAACACATCGTAGTTAAATGCATTCCACTAAAAGACACAAGTTAGTCCAAAGCAGCTTCAAATTTTGCCATTTTATGAAAGAAGCAACATAAATACTGACTCTTGAAGTTAATCAAACACATCAATTCATACAATAATTGTTTATAATCAACATTGCAGGGTTAGCGGTGATCGGCGAGACAGGTCTGGCTGCGGCGCGGCCGGTGGGCACGGCTGTGGCGACGAGCGGCGTGGCTCTGGCGCGGCCCGTCGGCACCGCCATCGCAGGCATCAACCCCGCGCTCCTTGGCATCGACTTCCAGATAAACCAGCTCCGCCGCAGCCTGCACCCGCGCAACAAGAAGCACTAACATTCTACCATCTCTAATAAACGTTAAATGGGTCACGTGTAAATTGTAAATAACAATATTCCTTACATTCGATGACCTGGAAATTAACTTCGGTTCATTTATAAATGTCCTGTATTAAGTTGTAAAAAAAATAATAAGCAGTCTATTCCTTCCTTTGGTTATAAATTATTATCGATTATTATTTATTAAATAAATTAAGTAAATTATTTTATATCTTCTATAAATGTTTTAATGGGTTTTATTTTTCTCAAATAACACTCAGGATGCTGAGTATTTCGCAGAAGTTCAGTATTCAATCATCAACATTGATATAATGAATAAGAAGTCAAGATATTACAACAGGAGTTGAAAGATTCTTTAGCTGAAACTGTGACGTCATAATCCAACGTACATAATTCACTATAAGAAATTATTTGGCTAGAAACATAAGCAACATAACTCTCAACGCCATATTTCTACGATAAAATTATAAGGCGCCTATATTTTTTTATATTCAAGCCCCTGCTTAAAAAGAATACCTGCATTTTGCCAATTCTTTATTATTTCTTTAATCTTAATAGTTATCAGATTTTCCCTTAAAGCAACCTGTGCCAGCTAATGTATCCTAAATTATAAGTCATTTAGTGATCGGAGTTTCATTTAAAATACTACTTTTTTTTAAACTCTGCACCTTCAGGAGATGCTTACAATATGTCAAACATTCTATTTGTTTATTGTGAAAAATAGACTCTTGTTAAAGTTTGATGATTTATTTTCATTCCTTTGTCACATTATCTATACTATTATAATAAAGCGTAAACACACACTTCTTTGTTGCCTAAGATGTCAGCAATTACAGCATGTTTTTGAATAATTCTTTTTTTAATAAAAAGGCCCACACATACGTCACGCTTTAGGCTATATATTTTCACGCCATTAAACTTAGGGGGTAAATATGTTGGATAAAAACCCTAAAGTGGGAAAGAGATCATAAGTTGCTGCCAACATCAAGGAAGCAAGGTTGCCATGCTTTGTCATCATGTCATGTCATTTTGACATTTGCAATTGATAATTTGACATATGTAAGCAATAAAATAACTTTTTCATAATTTTATGCGGCTGAAGTCGCACGGATTAGCTAGTCTTAAATAAATGGTATTTTAATGATCAAATTAAACGTTTATGAAGTCTATCCCGTGTTGTTATAAAGCAACAAAATAATAAAATAAAATGTATGTAACTAAATAACATTCTGTAAGGTGCATCTTATGTATGTCACCTCAACATTGAATGATTCAAAATAGTCGTTGACATAAATTTGAGTAAATTTACAGGAATTACAAACAATAAATATAAACTAAACATCATAAAAAACAGCCAGGAAAAATTGCGTCAAATCGCTAAAGTCTCCGATTCTAAACAACGCTTTTACTTTGAACAAAGGTAAAGTGGACAGAATGATTTGGCTGTGAATCAGCGTCGCCGCGCGGACATGTTGCAGTAAAAGTCCCGCTTGCATATTCATCATGTCTTCCTTTTACTACAAATGTATCTATATTTGTATATTTACCTGTGACATTAACCCTCGTTATCTCAATTAGTTGCCTTATTATGGTGTAATTCATAGGTCATGTTTGAAGGATTAAGGAATAATTATACTATTTGGGTATTGGATGGAATTGTCAATTAAAACAATGCCTAGATGTAGAATGTAATCGCAATTGTTAATTGGCCGAATTAATAAGGATAGCTGTGAACGAAAAAGGAGTCACCAATAACGAGGTACAATATTTTCTGTAATGCTGTATTCTCGAATTCTGGACAGGAAATACTATAATATTTATGTCTATTCGTGGTATATTTCTTTGTCTAGATCATGTAAATTGTTTCCTCTTTTACCTCAATGTTTATAAGAGGTCTTTTAAGATGTAACTGCGCAGCAGCAGTGGGTGTGCCTCAGTGCCACGCGTGTTAACCTGTTTGTTCTACCACCACGCGCAATCCAATATTATAACTTAACTACCTATGACTCAAATGTCGCGTAAATAGAACACATTGAAAACAAAATGGTAAATAATCTGCCACGTGGCGCGCCTCTTAATTGATACATTTAACTGGATTACTACGCGTTTACTGATCGAGCTTACACCATCCACGTGGTTTATTATGTCAATGATAGATCGTGAACTTTGCGACTTTATAATCTTACTAGGTGTATATAAAACTGTCTGATTCTGATGTGATCAAGGGTGTTAGTCTTAGCGACAAAATGTGTCACAAAAGTTTATTGTCATTAATTTCTTACTGTTGGACTGTTAAGGATAAAAGTTAACAACGTCATAAAACGCTATCAGCGGACGTCCTCTCAAGGTAAACGGAACTTGACCTTGCGCGGCGCAACGGTGGCTCTGGTTCAAGGGAACATTTGCCAAAAAAATCGACAAACATCGCCGGCCGCTACTGAGAAACACTCCTTCGCAGCCTCTCGACTTCCTCTGTTTGTAAACACAAAGGGCCGTCACTTACAAGAAAATAACAAAACAAATCATCTCGCCTGTATTGTCAATTCCCATTGAGGACATGTAAGCTGCCTTTTGGTAATAAAGGGTTTTTATTCAAAACTTTTGTGGATCCTGTATTTCAGTATAATAAAAATTGAAATTTTATCCTTTTAGTCAAATTATATGCATTTCTGTCACTTAGAATTAATCTTTTAATATTCATTATCTGTCCATGATTCCGCTCGGAATGCTAATAATGGTCCCTTGAGAACTAAGCGGTTCAATAACAAACTTTCTCAATAAATTTTTCTTCGCAAGATTCTATGTTACGTGGGAACCGGTGTTTTTACTATAAATATGTTTTACACTATTATTTTGTTTTTACGATCATAATAAACTAACATAATATAATGTATTAAGTTTTAATTAAGGTAACAAATCTATAAGAAACTTTGGAACTTTTTATATATGACTTTAAAAATAATGTATTTGAGAAAAATCAGCTCTTTCTTGTTCTTATGGTTTTTTTTAATTGTACTTAGTACGCACAGCAAGACATTGATCAACAAGTCACCGTCTATTTTTCTTAATAAAAATGACGACGTTATCGAAAAGTTTACACTAAACGTGACAATGAAAAGTGTAATGTACAGATGTCAAAATTTAAATAGTTAGCCTACAAACGGTCATTGAAATAGTATAGGTCAAGTCTTAGAGCCAACTTTAGTCTTTCCTCATACCGTGTCGAGTTCGTCTGATCGTTCTCTCAGATACACAACTAAACAAAATGTCGGCATAGAGTTTTGATAAATGACGGCTACATGCTGCAGCGTGATGCGTCAACTAGTCATAATAACAAATGGGGAAAAACAAGTAAAGAATTTTCTCTAAATTTAACACAACGCCTTTTTATTATTTCTAAGTTAATTAAGTTCCTAGCCGGATATTGGAAAATAGCATTTCCCCAAGCTGAGTCAGGTGTTGTGAACAAAGTAATAATAAATCACTGCATCGACAATACTGGGAGTATTCCGCGCTGTTGTTGCGGAGGGCGGCGGCTGGCGGACCGCCAAATGATCCTAATGAACTAATGCTCAGTTATTGTATAAATTATTTTAACTACCAACTAAATATGAACAAATTCCCTTAGCATGTTGTCAGTACTACCAAAGTTTCTTCGAATCTTGGGGACAATCTCTCAATGGTCAAACACACAAACTTAGAGTTTGTCCTGGATTATTATGCGTCATAACTTCTGCTTCATTCTAATGAATTTGTTTATTCATGTTTTTATGAAATATTGTACCTACACCGCCACAGCTAAACCACAGATAAATATGCTCTACATTGTCATGTCATTGGGACACGGAAAATGGAAATAGTGCTTTATTTACCTACCGAAAAATAACTTGAGTTGGGAATTTATGCCACATAAAAATTTCTTTCGAAATGTCTTAGGCTTTTGAACTCTAAACGTTGATAACACAGGTATGATACGTAACAACGAAACCATTGTCGTTTGGTGTTACAAAGGAATATAAACTGAGATTGAGAAGTCGTGTCTGTGTGATTCTAACCCTATGAATGGGAAATAACTTATTAATCAATTTGAGGTACACCGAGTATCGAACTGCAGACGGCGGTGGGCTGCTCGTGCGCAACCGCAGCGGCGCGGTATAAAGCCGTGGGGCGGCGGCGGCGCGGCTCCACTGTCCCCGCCGTCTGTCGTGCTGTATTGTAGTGCTCGTTACCTCGTTACCTGACGTCACACATGTCGCTCACCGCTATTGTGAGTACTCAATTTTTATTTGCTTTTTTCATTTTCGAAAAAAAAATGTAACAATTTTTTTTGATAAAATGTAAATATATAAATACAAACATAATGACTATTAAATATTTGGTACCTGTGTATTAGTTAATTGTTAAACAGATTTTGTTGAAATGGTAGATTATTATGGAAACGAAAAGGGTTTTGCTATAAAATAAAAATAAAATCAAGTACTTTTAACATGTTTAATTAAACGCCTGCACTAATTATTTTATTTGATTATTATTTTGATTATTCTACTTTTATCATTATTTTACTTTGTTAATTTGTGTAGTAAAAATAATGCGCTTCAACAATAGCACATCTTATTTAGCTGGATCATCGTCATTATTCACAATGTCTGTTCATTTTAAGATAATTTAGATGAACGCTTTTCTTTATTTAGTAGTTGTAGATGACTGTGAGTGTTAAAAACATAATTGTAATTGGAGATTACAGCAATTGGTGAAGTAGTGACATCTAATTTTTTATTAATTAGATATTTAGCATTAATTTGTAATGTGTTGTAAATCAATTTATACTCGAAAATAAAATATGACATAGGAAATGACGAATTAACAACATCAGTATATAAATAAGACAGGTTTTTGTAAATATTTTAGCTATGTTTACATTAACTATGGATTGTTAGTTCCTATAATTTGCAAAATATTTATTGCACGCTGTACCATAACATGTGGCTGGCGAGCTGCGTGTTTATGTAACATATATTACTAATATTTAAAACATACAATACCACCGATGCCCTTGTTAATGACAACCATAACATAAGTAAACCATCAAACAGGGAATGATCTCATTTGCAATGTAACATTTCTAAAGTATTGTACATCAAAATTAAAATTACACTTTTGATATAACTTTAACAGTGGTAGAGCCCGCTTTAACACCTCGCACGAATAGTTCGGTTACCACACAGAAAACAGGCGTGAAATGGAAGCAATTCCGCGTTTCGTCTGATGAGCGTGGTGCCGGAGGCCTAATTTTAGTCCCTTTCCCTTTACACACTTTTCTTAAGAGAAAAGGATGGGAAGGAAAAGTGGATTTGACGGTGGAGGAGACGCATAGGAAGGGGAAATGTCCTCTTTATGTGCGTCTCCTCCTTCGTCAATTAAAGGTGGGCAACGCATCTGCAATTGCGGATGTCTATGGGCAGCGGTCGCTTTGCATTTCGGTGGATTCAGGTGGCCGCTTGCTCGTTTGCCGCCTTATATTATAAAGAAAAATTATCCAAATTTTTCCGTTGATAAACTGCAATTCCCGGAAATACAATAAATTATGTTAAGTTTCGACAGTGAAGAAAATTCCGATGTTTTTTTTTTTCGAAAGTAGTGTTTTAATAAACAACTAATTCATTATCTGCATTGTTAATTTTATTCAGATAATGAATTGTTATGCCTTTACAACAACGTTGTCAACATCGACAACATTGACATGAGCCACTCAAATTCTAGAGCTAATTTCAGACAGTCGAAGATACTATTTTCAACATTTGTATTCATCAGATAAATTTCAATCTATATCATATATATCTTATCTATTAAATATTCTAGTGCTCATTATATTGTTCGATCGAAGGAATTTGGTATTTAGGTGTGACGTCATCACGAGCCCGGTTTCTGCCTCATCGGCGATCTAATTGTACAAAAATTCAATTTGATTGAAGCACTCATTGTAATACAATGAATAATCGACATTTCCTTTACATTTTTTCTTACTTACTTATTCTACATCTAAACGATTTAAACGACTACTATAATGCCACCATGAGAGTTGAGCAAGACGAAGGTACAAGCAGAAGTAGCGCGGTGTAGCCGGCGAGGCGCGTCCCGCAGCGCGCCCGCTCCACAATTACGGGAAGTATTACTGCGCCGGCCACTTCACTTGCGACATGCCAAGTAATAGGAAGCACGCTATGGCCACTGCCTACCCGCTTGTCACCTCCTCATCCATTTCTTAACATTTAAATATCTATACTTATGTGACGCAACACTGAATAACCAGCTTTACATTGCATGTCGGTTTAATTTTCTTAATGGGTTGAAACCATATTTTAAGTTTGCCGTACTTCTGTTAGACCTATTTAATTCATTTAATTAGATCAATGGTTTTAATTAAGTTTAAAATCTTTGTATGCGCTACATCGATCGTGCAGAGTTTGCATTATACGGGAATAGTAACAAATCAAAGTATTTATTTGCTTAATAATCAATACAATTTTAGGTCGGTATAATTCCTTAAATAATCGTAATCAATTAAGAAGCTTTTACCCATTAAAACAACACAGCATTTGATATAATTCACATTACACACGAGGAACACGAGCTTTCTCAAAAATATTTATCAAATTAAGATTAAGCTTACGACAAGTTTTTAATTTCCAAGTAATCTTAACTCCGTCTTTATGTCCCTGAGCAGATCTACGTTACTTAGAAATGCTACTCATTTTGACAATTTCCACGCAAAGTGGCCAATGAACCGCGCATCTCGCGTCCAGTATCACACGACACGCGTCAAACGACGCTGTTACATGTCGGACTCTGCCAGGTACAGATAATAAACATTTCAGCTACGAAAACATGATGAGGTAAACGACCTTGCGTTTTGCGAGCCTAATGTTAAATCTATCCTTGCTAAAACGTTTACATAACTTGCAAGTTTAATTCAGGATACTTTGTTAATTTAAACAAAGTCAAAAAAAAATGTTTTTTTGGATACGAATTTGGAATGACACCGATTAAAAAATTGCGGTATAGTTACATGTAGTACAAAGTACAAAATTAAGTAAATCGCAGTTGGGAAGTACTTATGATGTGACGTTTTGTGTGATGCGAGGTCGCGCTTGTCCCATTGTACGCAATACGCATCCGTGAATTTTGTAATAGTTGGTTGTTAACGGTAACATTAGGAGCTTGATTGTTTTCTTCGTAATTCACTAGACTGCCATCCTCCGGCAACCCCTGCGGAATAGTATTGTGCACTTTAGGAGGCTCGTCATAGACCCCAAGAGACTGTTTGAAGGTATGAGAGCGCAAGTGGGTGAAGGCCCTCGCGTGCGCGTGCAGCACATACTAATGTCGGTTTCCTTCCGTCGCACGCCGGGACAGTGCTTGGTACATGTGGATAGCTCGCATCTTGCACTCATGCCATATGAACTAAGTACCAGGGTCCTCCTCTTACATTGACTTTTTTTTATTAATCTTTTGAGCTTGCTGTGTCCATGTTTAGTAGTAGTCTGTCAATCGGATACGTACATCTCATTTATGTTGGGTTTCCAGGATACTTACTTTAGTAATTATGTGTTCTCCTTGCCGTGATTAGAGCACCTGTTTGTTTACAGCAGTATACATTGTAAAACATGTTATTTAACCTCACTGTTAACGTGATAAAATGCGGTAATTTTTGGCATGATGCAATAAAATGATAACGGATTAAAATCAACGAAAAAGACAAAAAGCCCTTGATGGTGCGCAAGATAAAACCTTTAGTATACGTGATCTGAAAGTGTAAGGCGGCGAGTCACTGTGGCGGGGACACACCGCGCGCGACCCACGCACGAGGATCTGTCCAACACTGACCCATCTCGAACTATTGACATATTAGATTCGAAAATTTTAATGAAGGATTTGAGAATAGTTCAATCCGGTTGTATTGTTACTAACATTACGAGTTAACTGGGTTCTCCTTGTCGCTTCTGTATCTCCTCTTCACTTCTGTTTTGCTTATTTTGTGAGCTATGATGATCAATATTTTTAAAGCACAATCTGCGGGAGCCTTACTCGTATTTACATCTCGAGCTTTATAGTACTCGATATAAATAAACATTAATAGTAAAGTAATTGCTGTTCCTGCCACCTCGCGATGTATCGGGCACGAGCATCTGATGACAGACGCAGATGATGTAAACACACAAACAAACAAATCTAACATTCATTTATTATAATTTATTCGAGAATGCTGGCAGCCGCCGCACTCCAGCTATTTTGTTGACATAATAGTTACCTCCGCCGGCCCTTCCATAACTATTGCTTTGTTACGCGATCGCGGGAAACTTGCAGCCAATCGTTGATATAATTGAGGACTTTGCGTATGCAACATAACTAAACAATAAATAAAAGTGTAATTTTTCTTCGTAATATTAAAAATATGTCATATATGTTAACATGATTAATTTACATTTTTTTAATCACCACTCAGCAAGGCCAAACCACCGCAAAGGTGATGATGCATCATGTTATTGTTTTATTGCAAGTAATTATGACGAATTTCTACCGTTACTATATTGTGTACTTTGTATCTCGCCGGAAATTCTGCATACAAAGTCCTATATAGTATTTCAAGTTTATTAAAATTCCAAAGTAATTTACGTGTATGCAAACATATTCCTTGTATTACAACATTAATCTGTCCAGCCTCTCGCGGCGCGCGATCTCTATAAGTACTGGCATTTTATTCCGCATTCGTTATATGACAAATCCGTAATTATATCTCCAAGAAATTGTTCATTTAATATCCGAGAGAAATAGAGCACAATTGTTAACGAAGATATTGACAATTTAAAAATACACGAATGTTAGAATGGAGCCGTTAATTCGTATATGTGAATATTTAATGCAAATTAACGTACGGTCGTGAAAGAATAGTTTGCTATCTTATTAAACACAACTAGTCGGTAGTAAGTATTTAGTATATCATGTTTAGGAACAGCAAAGTTTCTTTTGGTTAATTGTAATTCAGCGAGTGCGCCCGCGCCGGTCCAACCGAGCAGCGCCGAGTAGCGCCGATTAGCGCCGAGGAACCGGCCATCCTTCAGTCCGCACTAAGGAAAATTATATTACAATTACAACACATCAGTGGACTGTCCGAGCTGTCACTGCATAACGCAATATAACAAGCCGAGTATCACACTAAGGCCAAGTGACACTAAAAATGCTTAATTCTAAAGCTATCAGCCAAGATGATTTTTGTTAGGAAAGTTGGTATTACGAAGGCTCAATCGTAGACATCGCCTATTTTTACATTTGTTAACAGAAGAGTACAAGGCTCTTTTGTCTCGCTCAAGATCCTCTTCTATACACCATAAGAAGCGCGAGCGCGTGGTAAGAATGCAGATTCGTCGGACTGGTTGTTGTAGAGACGGCTCTGCGTTGATCGTTTGAAACAAAAGTACGAACACTTGTTGCAGGTGCAGCTGGTCGCGGCGGCGCTGTGGCCCCCCGCCGCACCCCTTGCCTCGCCGCACTTCTTCTCTGCCACACATCGCCGCCACATCAGCCCGTAAGTCACCTATCATAAAAGCAACCTCCTAGGCTTTTCCTAAATACATACATATATCCATTTTACGACTTTTTTTTTCGTTTCAGATTAGATTATTACATGGATAGTCCAGAAATGGTAAACTACTACACACTGGCACAACAGAAAAATGGTAAATAACGAGTTCTTAAGATTGCACTTAATTTGTATCGTAAATCATTGAATAGATATTCCTGGAAATTCAGCTTAAGCGAAAATTTTTAGCTATGTGAAAATTACTTGCAATTTCTAAACTATCTCTAAAGATTATTTTAACCTTTTGCAACACTGTTTTAATTAATTTTTTGAATTTGACACTAAACGACCACTATTGGTCTAACTGACTCCATACTACTCTGTATTTTCGTGCAATCTTGGTACATATATTGTTGTTACCATGAGTACTGAGAGAATTGTGTGTGCAGTGCCGTCGCGCGCGGCCCGACTGGAAACCCTGGAGCCCGACAGCGAGGTGGAGCTGGTGCCCGGCGTGCAGCCCCCCCAGCAGCCTCTGCAGCCACCGCAGGTACGCATCCCCCACACATCACCACCATACATTTTTAAATAAAATGTTATTTATTCAAGCAGTAAATAAGAATGATTTCACATATTATGAGTAAGACTAAATGACACGATAATGTTATGACCGACAGCCTCCCGTTGCGGGCAACATCCCCGGCCTGATCCCCGGGCAGCGGGTGTTCATAGTGCACATGCCGGTGCCAGGCTACAGGTGAGCGGGCACGCAGCGCAACGCCGTCTGCGGTTCTCGCAACAACATCACTGTATAACTGATACAGTTACTTATCTTTTACAATTGTCTCCAGGCCGGGCACGATCGGCGGCTACCAGCCCGTGTACATCGTGGCCGCCGCGCCGCAGGGACACTACGCCGGGGGTACGTACTCTCAATATTACACAACGCTATTGATGTCATTGTATTTATTTGTTTTTATTTTTTATAATACACACAACAGACAAGTTTTACAAACACAAAAGATATAGATTACAAGACACATAAATGTTAACACTTGTTAAAGATTAAAATGTAAAGTTAAATATATCGCGTAATAACCGAGTCCCCACTGTGACGTCCAGGGTACCAGAACACGCTGCTGGTCGACCCCTCGCTGCAGGTGATGTCCCCGCTGCAGCTGCGCGCCGCACCCCCCGCGCCCGTCGCATCCGCCGCGCCCGCCGCGCCCGTCGCACAGCCCGAGCCCCCCATACTGCTCGGCACGCCCCTCGGCTACAACTCCGTCAACTTTGTCTACAACCCAAAAAACTACAGGTGAACCTTATTGTGAAGCATAATTTAAGGCTGTTTCCTTCTCTAACGAGCATGATGGCAAAATACATGTGGTGTGTGTCCGGCAGGGGCGTGGGCAGCTTGCCGGGCCTAGCGGAGCAGGCGCGCTCGTCCGCCGGCCCGCCGCCGCCCGCCGTCAACGCTCCAGATAAAGGTTTGGAACATTATACTTTGTTGTAGAGTTTTGAAATAACAATACGAAATCGATTACACCTGGTAAACAAGTGCTTTTAAAAAACTAACCGGTCTTGTATTTCAAATAATTCAATTGACTTCCAGACACAGTGTCAGGGACGGAGACGAGGCGGGCAGGGCACAGAACAGGACACAGGGTAGGGCACAAGGCAGGGCACGAGGCGGAGCACGACGCGGGCCGTGAGTCGGCCAGCGAGGAGACCAGAGAGAGCCTGGAGGACACTCGCCACGTAGCCGAGGACGCCAGCATGTAGCCTCTCCATTCCTCTACTGCTTCATTTGGCCTTCATCACTATCTAGGATCTAATTTATTACCACATGAACTGTTTTTATCTTCTAATTCTGGATTCTTCTATACATCTATTTATAACCAGCAGATTGGTTTAAATTTTCGTTAAAAGTCTGTAGTTAAAATAACCTGTTACTGATGTATGTAAATCTTTTGTGTTTCTCAAAATTATGAATCGCTGACTTTTGTAACTCATGTCTGTAAAAATATTACTTTGTAGAATAATTATACTTTTACACATTAAAAAAAAAACTATATTACAGGGTGTCTAGGAATGGTGCAATAATCTGACAGGGATCGATAATACTTAGACGGCGTAGATTGTAGACTAGTTGATTTGTAACAGTAGTATTGTTTGTGAATTGTAAACTTTGTTGCCGTAGATTTAAATAATATTAACTGATTGAGGATGTTGTTTGTTGTAATTTAACACCCTGTAGCTCCCCCTCCCCGCACTGTATTGCACACACACACTCGCACAAAGGGTCCTTCACACGATATTAGAGAAAATAATACATACGGCTATACTCGTAATTTGATTAAATTGTAATTAGCTTTACGCCAATTTTGAATTTAAAAATCTGCGTTGACTTGACATCGCACAAGTTTATCTGTAAAACATTGTTTTTTAGATTATACCTTATGCAAAATTATATGTTAGAACTGTGTCATCCAAAGTATATGGCAGCCAACCCACATGTCGCTATTCCAGCCAAACCATTGTGTTGTAAAAGGTTAGACAAGAAAAAGTTAAAAGTTTTGAACAAAAGGTAAGATGTAATTTTGTTTAAATTCTCAATTTGAAAAAGCACATGTTATTAACATGGCTCTTAAAAGCGCCTGACAGAAAACACAAAGCAAACAAGTTGTCTATACAACAGTAATGCATTACTTCCGCAGAGCGCACGAGCGGCACCACTCCTCCGACGAGACCCTGCTACATGAAGGTACGTTTAAATTGCTTCTTATGTTATATTTACACACCCGTTTATATTAAAGGACATTCATCTCATAACTACATATTACTATTGTAATAAATTAAAGAAGTCGTCATTGTCATCATCGCTTTTCGTTTGCGTTCCGTCTGTTCAGACGTATATACCATCTTCAATATATCACTATTGCTGCAATCTATCCATCTCGAGGCTACCCCTAACGATATGTCGTTATGGTATGATATGGAGTATATCCATACATTAACATTTCAGACATGCCACCATTGAAGCTGCGACACAAGCATCCCAAGCCCGCCGCCGACAGCGAGGAGACCAAAGATGCCAGTGTCGAGGAGACAAAGAGCATCAATACGACTTCAGTCCTGCGATATGACGGCAGCAAAAATATAGCGTACGACTCTTTGAATCTAACTCATACAAAATTAACTACTTTAATTTATCTACATTTACTTATTGCCTGCAATAGGTTATTTATATATGTAGTTACATTTTTGCAAGTGTTTAATGTTGAGTTTTAATGAAGCATATATGATACGATGTAATTTGTGCAGGGAGGGCAGTCGCGGCGGCGGGGACGCGGTGCAGCTGTACCTGATGACGACGCAGCAGCGCACCGGCGCCGGCGCCGCGCGCAACGCCACCGAACGTGAGTTCGCCGCAGTGACGGCCCCAGGCAGTGACTGACTATTGTCACACATAGCCTGCTACTACTCGTAAAATCACCATAAAATGTTTGAAGCAGATCTACGCCTTCATTCATAGCTTCCAGATATGCTTATTCATACTTGCGCAAGGGGCTAGTATTTTTTAAGTTTATTATTCTGAATCTAATGTAAAAAAGAATCATGTTACACGAGCAGAGTCAGTGCAGCCAGTGCAGGCGGTACAGCTTGTGCAGCCGGTGCAGCTGGTGCAGCCCGTGCAGCCGGTGCAATTGGTGCAGCCGGTACAGCTGATGCACTCGGTGGCGGCGACGACCTCATCCAAGCCAATACTGTCAGCAAAGACCGGCAGACCGCTCCACCTTGACGAGCCCGACGTGCAGACGGAACAGACCGAGAGCGAGGAGAGCACCGAGAGCACAGAGGACGAATCCGGCGCCGAATTCACCACCGCCCACAACTCTGCCGACGCTTCGGGGTAACTTTTACATTTATGATCGCCTTTCTAAATTTAGGATAAATAAAGGTACATTCTCAAAATATACCCTCGGCAATAGTAGAAATAGTATCTGAAAATACCTAATACGAATGAGTGGTGCAACTGACAGAGACTCTTCTTTGCAGAGAGACAGCGAGGTTGCTGTCGGGTGAGGACCTCGAAGCCCAGCGAGAAGTGCTGCGCCAACAGCTGCGGCACATGATTGATCGAATCAGAGGTATGCTGGCCGATAGTAATTTCTACAATTCACTCCGATTCCACGCGTTCTATTCCAAAGTAGACGCGTCAAGCGAATAACTAAAGACCTAACGAATCCACAACAAACGATACAATGGAACTGATAATGTGCAAATAATATTGAATACTATTAACTTGCAACCGGTTACTGGCTTTATTTAAAACATTTGAACAAGATATTTGGACTATTAGTTGCGCACGCCTGCACTTTGATGTCATGAATGTCACATTACGGATTAGTTTTAAAAAATTTACATTTTAATAACTCTTTAAGCAACATTTTTCAATACCTTCCTAAGAGCAGCAACGAGTCCAGCATAGAGGCGACGAGAGCAGTCTCGGAGGCAGCAAACGGCGGCGCGTGGCCAAGGGCGGCGAGCGCGCGGGCCGGCCGGCGCGGCGGCGGCAGGACCCCACGCCCTGCACGCGCCACCACGCCGCGCGCCTGCAGCCCGCCGCCAGCCTCGCGCACCTCTACGCCGGGTAGCGGCGCTCTCCGCACCCGCCTCGCCGCCCTTACATACAATACAACTTGGAAACGCTGCGCAATTTCTACTTACAATAATTTCGTACACTCACTCTTACTTAATTCGAGATCACAATCTTTTTAAATTTTCACAATAATTTCTAGTGTTCGATTACGAACATGGTGGATTCTGGTAGACATTCCTTTTATAGTTCTGCCATGTTTTATGGAACAGCTATCTTCAATACTCATTTATATAATTGCAAATTGACTTTCAAATGATTTCTCTTGCAAACTGTTATCACCGATTCCCCCCTTTCAACATTTTTATAAATTGTTACGGCAATGTTAGAGCATGGCCGGTTGCAAGGTCTAATCTATTGCTATGTCAAAATTTATCATAATTGTCTTTTAATTATTTCCGAGTGAAGCGTGAACAACAAAAATCGTTATCGTTTAATTTATGATGATAAACTACTTTCGTGATGTGATTCATGATTCCGCTGACTTTGCCATAAAACCACTGTTGAGTTCTGATTGCATTTGGCGAATCTGCCGCGCTAACAGCTGACAGCTGACAGTAGACAGTGGTGACAACTGTAAGGCCTGTATGTTTGCAGCTTATGGCCGGTGGGTGTAAAAAGACTTTCAGGTTGACGTGTCTGCTGCCCAGAGAGGTGCCTCCTATATTTTATGTCTTGTATAAAAGTGGAGTTAAATAGAATACAATAGTTTTGGTGCCATGTATGAAATTAGATCGCGATGATGGATGTTAATAAAAAATTACAAAAAAATACTATGCGTTTTTATCAACATTTTAAATACGATATTAGCTATTTAACTTCAAAATTAAACTTTTTCCGATTCCAAATAATTTAACTTACAAGTAAAAGAGTCAGTATCTTTATACAACTCGTTCTGTCCCTGCAGCCTTCGTATTTGAACTTTAAAACAAACGAGCCCTTCAATCTTTTGCCTTTTTATATTTTAAAAATTATAGGATGTCGAAATTATATCAACTTAATTACTAATAGTTTTACACTACTTCTTCTGGGCCTCTTACAAAAAGCCAGTTTTTTAACGTAGCGCAAGTAATTTAGATCAAAGTAGATTGAACCGTTTTTTTCGTTACCTACATTGAAAACCGGGGCATTGTTACGTGATCTATGTACAAATGATATCAAAAGTGACGAGGTATGCGATATGTGAGGATGCTAACTGTAATCCTTGTTAGCAAAAAATGTCAGCGAGTAGAAATGGCGACGCTGAGCACGAAGCTACATCTAGCCGGGCCCCGCGCCGCACCCCGCGCCTCTCTTCCCGCAACACGCACCCTTCGCCCCGCGCCCCGCGCCCCGCATCCCGTTGCAAACGGCAGTGTCCTGTTTTTACGTCAGGTCGCATTAGTGATCGAGATTAAGGAAAACAGATGAACATTACTTCCTAGCATTTCTGATTCCGGGAAAAATGAAGAAATCTGCACAACGAACTGTAGAGAGCTGAATTTATTGTATTCAGATTTTTTTTCAAATCTTCAAAATATTCGTTCCAAGTAAAGTTTTGGTAACATACTTCAAACTAGGCCAATATCACCTGCACCCGACGTGACGTCGACACCAGCACTCTACAGTTATTTACATTTTTTGCGAATTAAAACAGAACATAACTATTATGTACCGTTAATTTAGTAATGTCCCATTGAACTCGACAATCGGCAGACTGACCGCGAGCCTCGTCAAAACTGCACATGCAATTATACACAATAAACTGCGCCGCGGGACGACCCAGCCTTTCACCTCGCGCTGTGCCGGCCCAGCAACCACGTAACGTATACAACAAAAATGTAAATCGCTCACTTTCTCTCTCTTCACTTGCATGGAAACATTTAAAGTGTCAACGACGTAATTATGATGATACAAGTACTAGTAGTCCATTGCAGAAGCAAACCGGCAAGGCGCGGCGCAGTGGCGGGGCCTGCATGCCTTACCGTTACCATCGAATCTGATAGACCGCCGCTAACGGGCCCCTTTCCTGTGCGATCGGTGCACGATAAAATACCCGCGGTCACGACAACCTCGTACATGCCCCGCGAGCTCCGGAACCTTGGACTTTAATCCTCGCAACATACACATCACTTCAATACAACCAGCCGCAAGCTTAACAATGTTGTTAGCAAATGCCAGTTTGCTATAATCTGCAAATTGGAAGATTTATGACTTACCGCTAGAGTAGAAATAGTTACATTTTGCTAAGGTAACATGATCTGTGGCAGATAACAGACGTGCTGAGTAATTGCTATTGATTAAGGTGGCGATTAACAAGCAGATACATTATTTAGTAAGAGTAGTACACTTTCAATAAATGTAGACCAATTTGTATAAACCTTTGAATAGGATCGGACGTATTTCTTGATAATTGTAATATAGAGCTTCAAAAATGAGTAAAGCCTATTGAAAAGAACAAAGACCATTTGCATTGTTCGTAAAAATATTTCTTGCACTATAATTGAATTCATACACATTGATTGTTGGTCATTAAGTAAATGTAGTTAACAATTAACAAGTAGCTGGTATGTTGGTACAGAAAGGAAATTGTGTGTAATGCTCCTTATCGCGGTGTAACTGGGGAGAGTGTTAAAAGTGACACCCTTGCGCTAGCCTCGGTGAAACCTTGGTACGAGAAAATCGTAGTACTATCGCATCCAGGCTTTATTTAACTTTATCTCCAGCTGTGAGACGCCATCCATAGGTCAATTCACTTTGCAACTTTGTCTATAAATTTATGAAGTAAAGTAAAATCTTCACAAACGTGAAGATGAATTTTAGAAACACACTATTTAGTGTAAGGCTATAACCCAAGAGGGGGGAAGGTGAGGCTCAGGAAAGCAAGCCATAAGCGTTGTGATTCGTTCCAGGCAATTGGCGAAGCATCGTAGTGACTGGTGACCTCGAAACAAAGCGTGTGATTGTCTTCTTTTTTAGAACATCCGCTTATCGGGCACCAGCAGGCGATGACCTGCTTGCTAATGTAGTTTGTTTGAAGAACGTTTTTTTATAGATCTTAAGTACTCTTACTTAAGTAATTTGTTATTGTGCAGAAGTTTATTGCAACAGACAAAAATCCCCAAATACTACGATTAAGTACGAATAATACTGAACATTTCCTGCGGAAGCAAACCCCTGCTGTATCACCATAAATAAAATAGCGAAGCAACCAAAATCAAGAGTATCGTCAGCCGCTCAGCTGGTGTCGGTACGTATCACTAAGTTAAGGACCCTAAGGCACACAGAGATTTAGAGGGCTCAGCGAGCGCGGGCACATCTTTTATTGGCACAATAATAACAACACAGAGACCAGTCGGAGCGGACCCGTTAGATCCCGCGCTGTGTGCCAACACCCACCGTGTGACCCTGTCGGCCACGGGTCACTCTATGCCGGTGCACCGCGTGGATGACTCACACGAATCGAGATGGAAGTGCTTTCCAAACGAAAGGTGTCGAGAGATCGCTGCAATTATCCGGCGGACATCGTAACGCAGCGCAATTACTATCTTTTTGCCGAAGACCCGTTATCTCGACTTAGATGCGGAGCAAAAACGCAACGGGCGCAGTGTCGACGCATTCGCCGCGCTGGCCGCACGCTGCCGCTTCGCACGCAGCCCGCCCGCCAGGCCCCGCGTAGCTCGCACCATGTCGCCACGCGCCCTGCTGCTCCTGCTCGCCGTGGCGTGCGCCAGCCGGGCGGCGGCGCGCCCCGTGCGGCGCACGCTCAACTTCAATATGTTCGTGCTCAAGCCGAAGGAGGGAGGCCCGGAGCGTACCATCCTTACCACCGACGGCGTTTCGCGGTTTGGCCCTGTCATCGAGTACATGGTGCAGCGCATGCAAGGCCTCTTTTCGGTCAGGAATAGTCCGGAGCAGGTCGGCGGACTCGAACCGACGGACGCCAACTCGGCGGAGAATGAGGTGGACTCCGCCCAGGAGTCCCGGCTGCCCGGTGTCGTAGTGCGGCCCTCGGCCACCAGACCCGGCACCTATGAGGTGGAGATCGACGTAGTGATGGACGACGGCCAGCCCGACGACCGCGCTCGCCGTTGACCGCCGCCGACCGGCCAACACCGGCCACAATTATGTCGTGATGTAATGTAGTTTAAGATAGTCTTGATATCTCAAGTGTAATTCGTAATTTATTTATTCTTGCCATAGAGTTAATTTTAATAAATTATTTTTTATACTTTTACTACTATTTTTATTATCCGGCAAAAGATGAAAGCGACGGTTTTATTTCTCTCAATATTTATCATTAACTTGCTATACCTACTTACTAACCTCTATACGTAAAATATATGAATTCAAAATTGACAATAACAGCAAATAGCTATCCTGTATTCTCGTGTATGACTTTCATGTTTCTGCGAGGTGTTTTTTCTTTAGGCTTTCACTACTAGTAGTCTTAAGTTAAAGTTGTCTCACACACTATTGCTGCAAACACACACTATTGCGCACAACGATACAATCATCCGCATAAAGATGAATCTGTATTTATTAGACAAATATTATATTTGCCTTGACAAAAAACATCGCAGTTTTTAAAGTAAAGATTACAATTGAAACCAATAGGACGATAATTTTTTAGCAAAACCAGATTTTAGCAAGGCATTACATGCAAGGTACCAATAGTCAAAATTTAATGGCAGCGATTGATTCTACCATAACTCCTGCCGCCAACCCCAAGGGCAACATCTACTTTACAACGTAGAACGCCATCAAGTGCGTTATTGTGATACTTACCACGTCATCGTTGTATCATAACTTGCTTCAAAATACATTGAAATAGTAAAATAGCAAAAAACTTAAAGGTTAATAGTATTATAGCAGCTAGTTAATAGGAAAAGGTTTATTCTATGTTGTGTAACCTTCAATAATTAGTATGTTTCTGATCTGACAAAAACATTAGCAGAAAAACATTTAAAAAGTTTGAAATGATACAATCACTAGGAGCTGAACCTGTTTAAAAGCGCTGATAATGACATAGTTATTTATTAATGTTAATTACCTTAGTGATACATATTTATTAAAGGCTATTAAAAAGTAGGATAACCTCCTCCTATTCTCACATCTGTTTTTATATCGATGCGGGTTGTAATGGCATTTTATCTAATGCAACCTAGAGTCGTAACTTCGGTATTATTAATGGCAACTTAGATTTATCCTTGTCTGTCATTACAACATCCTAACAAGGATGTTCAGGAGGTAATTTTTATACACCAATTTTGAATAAAAATAGGGTCTTAGGTCTCGTAAAGAGTTCAAAAATTAAATGCCCTAAAGTAAGGTAATGTAGTTGTATAACAAGCTACTTCTTACCGTGTGAGATCATATCTGCAAATGTACTTGCACCAGTTTTCTCCGAGACAAGGGATCTTCATGACTGTTGTAGCCAGTCTTAATGGAATAATGTTCTTGGTCATATTTTTCGGACAGCTTAATCTTTGTTATAACACAGTACAGTTTGTTTAAAAAAGTCGACCAATAATTTATTTAAATTACCGCCTGCTCAATTCCAAGAGAAATAAACAGATTGGACACTTTATGCTATTCATTACCTATTTGTAGTAGCCAGCTGAATTAAAATATTGCCTTTCAAAGATTACTTTAGTATCATCAGATTTAGACAGCAAGCATATGAGTCTCGCTCGGTCAATGTGACCAGATTTACAATCACTTAATTCTAAGTCTGAGTGACCCAAGATACGGCGGTGTTCTATTTATTTCTCTTAAGTTTGGAATTCGATTAGAATTCAATAAGTCTGTAGAAACTTTTGACTGTTAAGATTAGTAAGGCACCAAAGAGAAATAAAAACTTCAAAAGAAACATATTTAAAGTATGTCACAGTATTGAACCGAAGAAAGTTAGATATAAAAATTATTCTTATCACACAAACAATTAACGTAATGATGAATGAGTGTACCCGTATATGGCGTCGTAGTAAAAAAGTACCCCTAAAAAGAAAGCGGGCAAGGTCAGCTGCTGGTGCAGTGGGCCAGTGGGCGCAGCAGTTCGCATGACAATGACGATAGGCCCGACTCCGCCGCCGACCGACGCTCCAGTAGCCGCACAACTACCGACCGACCAACTACAATACAACGCTTAACAATTACATTTTGTGACAAACGTGATTAAAGGAAAACTCTCCAGTCTTTCACATTCTTGAAGAATTTAATTGAAAGTACTAACAATGTGTAGTGTGGTGATGACAGTGTTATTACTGCAATTGCTGATATCGCAATGTGCGTCGGCGCCGTTACTGCTGCAACCCAGCCGGCAGGGTCAGCAGGGCCAGCAGCTGCTACACCTGCAGCAGTTACAGCAGTTAGAGGCCCTGCAGAGAATCGCCTGGCCGCAGCACTTGTAAGTATAGAACGTCCCATAGCGTGCGTGAAGCCACTACACCTGACACTGCTGCAGCTAGCAACCTACTTAGTGTACACTCTTACACACACTTGTATTTATTTATTACCAAAATATTTGCATATATCCAGTCAAAAACCATTTCATTAATATTGAAAGTTATTTTCTACCGCATAAAATAATTAAATGTAATTAAAAAAATCAAATGAGTAAAGACTTCTTAAGTCGATAAAGATCGACTTAAGAAGTTGAAATCCACTTTTTATCCATTATTTACTTGATTACTTTTAGATACAAACTGTGATAGTTAAATATTTTTTTAAATAGCGTATAAAGGAAGATGGTAAAATACAGTTAGGTCGTTAACTCTAATGGGTGACGTCCACATACCTCGCCTATCGACAAATTCCGCTCAGCAATGTGTCAAACAACTTAAAACGAAACATTTAGAGAAATATTATCTCTCCATTTTCCAGAACAATTCCTCCGATAATAATCCTCATTCAAAACGCTCAGACGAGGACGACAGCTGATACAACTGGCGCACAAACGAAACGAGACGCCACGAAAAAAAACGCTAACAAAGGAATAGTTGACAAGGATTTGGACTCTGTGATTATCGAAGCGGATCCTGAAGATGAAGAGACGAGGTCGCAGAATGTGCTACTGCTGCCGAGCAGCGCCAGGCTGTCCATAGGTGATGTCATCTCCGCCATTCCCTTCCTGCCTATAGAGATTAACGTGCCGGATACCATCGGTTGGGTGTACAACGGTATAGCCAGTGGCATCTCCAGTATTATATCTATCTTCGGCCGGCAGCCGGTCGCCCAGGGCAATAGTGGTGGCGCGCAACAGACCAGGCTACGCACGGAACCGCTGCTGCAGACAGGCGGTGCCCAGCTCCTCCTACTGCCCCTACCACAACTGATACCTATACATCTACCCATACAAGTGTGACTTAATACAAGCTAACCGATATATATGTTATTTTATTTAACTGATCCTTTATTTATTACAGAATCTTAGCTTCCTTTATTCAAAGATCATTTTCACATAGTAGAATAGGATATACTTCTAAGGTGCAACGAAATAAACAACAACGTACATAGATAGTATTTATTTGTTATAATATAATCACATGAATGGTATAATAACAGCTAACTTAACCTACTGGCGACTAAAATGGCAACACAACTTATCCTATTTCGGCGACAGTACAGTTACAAATCGATCGACCCTGATCCGTGAGCCTTGCTCCTGCGCCGGGCATACTTTAACACACGAAGTGATTCCGCTGGTACAATATCTAATAATAACGACAAAAACATCATGTCGGCCGTAAATCTGAATGTGTGGTAAATGTATTAGACATCCAAACGAATAGCTGAAATTGTCATAAAATATATCAAAGTGCTCCAAAATTATACTATACATTTCTAGTTTCTATGTTGTTGATATGGAAATGTGTAGTTTTATTAGTAAACGATAAGAGTCCGCTGTATATCGAGGTCTAGACTGTCCTTGCGGCAAGGTATGCCGGGTCCTGGTTGTAGGCCGCACCCTCCTTCGGCACTATGACGGACACGGGGTACGTGAAGCTGTAGAAGAAGCCGCGCGGAGGTCCCTGACGGTTACAAAAACAATAAGTTGTTTAGATACTTGCAAAGCTATTTCTAGCCGTATTGTACAAAAAAGACAGTATAACTGACAGTGGGTTCCGGTTCCTCGGTGGTGGTGTAGTACTGCTGCTGGTAGGCCTTGCCCTCACGAGGCTGCGGGTCCTGCGCCGGCGCAGCTACCACCGCGCTCTGCACCTCAGACGCCGCCGGCTCGTACTCTCTGCGTTGTTAGGGCAAATTGTTAGCAGTCTAAATTTGTTAAGAACTGATAGTAAACGATAATATAATAGTAAGTAGGTCGTACTGCGGCAGCGGCGCGTGCAGCGACGCGGCGCGGGCCAGTTGCCAGGCGCGCTCGTGCGCCAGCCGCGCCTCGCGCACCTCTGCCGTCTCCTCCGCAGGCTTCAGCTCCACCTTGGGCAGGTTATCCTCCTGGTGGAAGCCCTGGCTGTCGGCCCAGTATCTCACCTTATTTCAAAATAACATAGTTCGTTGTGGAAAAGGGGTAGATTAACTCAGAAATACAACCATGAGATGTTTATCCGGTAAGTAGGCGTGGTGGCACTGCTGCGATACCTTAACGAGTTCATTGTTGTTGTTCTTGTAGACGTAGGAGCCCTGCACGTTGCCGGAGCCGGCGCGGTCCTCCACCTTGGCGGACTCGGGCGTGCGGTAGCCGTAAGCGTAGTCGCCACGCCCGCTCTGCCCGTGGAACTGCGCCGCCTCGTACACCTGCACGCATCCCGCACAACACCGCAATATTAATACTCACAATAAATTGCCTTCTCATCGAACTACTGTTAACTGAAACCAACTCTGAAGGCTGATATTTGAGTCGTTCACCTAGACTGGAGTATTTGTATGTTAATGGAAATCGTGGCAGTTGTTGACAGAGACATAAGAACATATGAGAACATCAGATGGCAAACAGTCTTATTAATCACACATGAACAAATTGGACTGGTGTTGAAAATTATAATTGAACTGAAGCGAAAATATTACAGGAGGTGTATATTTTTTTTACCTGAGAAAGGTATTATTTTAATTAAGGAACGCAAATTAAAATTAACAACAGCTTATTACCAATTAATTATAAGGTACATAGAAATACCTAAGTTATTAATTAGACCCGACCTTGGCCAATTAAAATTTAAAATGACGCATCTCTTCACTCACTGCTTAAGTTCGCGAGGAAGCAATATTGTTGATAGATCCACATTTAAACAAACATGAAACTACATATATTCAAATTTAAACTTGTTTAAGGTCAGATCTGTTACCGGTTCCGTGACTTCATCTTTTGAATTACTCTCAGCTATTGTCGCCATTTTACATAAAAAGTAGACACACTGACAAGAAAACTACTAAATGGTGTGAAATGTCGGTTAGGTAAGGTTTGTGTGAGCAGTTTTACCTCCTCCTGGTAGTTCTCAGGGTCCTGGATCTCCTGTCCGTTGCGCCAGTAGTGGCCCAGCGTGGGGCCTGCCTCCGCGCTGCGGAACCGCGGGTCGTCGTACCGGATCTGCAACGTCACAGTACCAATGCTAAAACATAACTCAACAATTTATCTATCTGATGCAATAAGTGATGTTATAAACGTACGAGAGGCAGGATGTTGGTGCGCCCTGCTAACTGGGGCTCTGCGAAGGGCGGATTGTTGAGGTACTGTTGCGCCTCCTCGGGCGCGAGGTCCAGCTGCAGCACGTTGGAGACGGGCTGCGCGCTCGCTACGACCACCGCCTGCATACAATATTAATAAATGTCACCGAGCCACTAAACAATCGCTGTAAATATTTCCGTCTAACAAATGATGCAAACATCGTGGTCAGGGTTACGTCGGAGAGATGCCAGTCATAAACTTATTGTACTGCCTATGTGTGCTAATACGAGTATACTAAATCTTATATTCGTATGCCATTCGTTATTATTGAAGCACTAAAAGCAAATAGTATTATTAAACTTCAATGTATACTCATTAAATAATTATAATTAACGATTTTCTGCAAAAAGCAAATAAGTTTAAAGTTTTATAAAAAGTAAATAAGGAAGATAAAAATAAATCGCATCGCTCGCGGTCCGACTTTACCTTGCGAATTGTCGTTTTGTAAACGAATAAACATTCAATACGAAATAAATTAGCAAGTTCCATACATAAATATGGTAGAAGAATGGCGTCGTGTAACATGCTCGTAAAGTATGGAGAGCTATTTCCTTATCACCTTCACAACAATTAACAGTCAAATGTACAGTTATCAGATTTAAAAACTAAATAAAACATCAAAATGATGGTGATTAAAAATATATGACTTATAATCGATGAATAAAATAAAAAAGGAAAAACCAACCGCTTAAAAACGCCATTTAAAAGTGATTGATCAAACCGGTTTTTGACAAAAGGTTAAGACACCTCCGTGGAAGATGGCCTAAGCTGTACATTATTATTATAATGAAATAGGTACGTATACTAAATTATAATGAAATGTAGCAGTGTGACTATTGAAACTCTTATTTTAATGTCCCAAACGACAAGTCAGCTCACGTCATCATTCTCAGCATCGCCCGTGACATTGCTCGCTACAACACCGACACACAGTACTGTTATCTACTCGAACAACTCAACACAATGCCTATAATGCAGTGCCTCGTTAACTGTAATAAACATCAATATACTATCGTTACTATTTATTTTATAGTAAACAGCGAAGTGACCGCCACAACTGCGTTACTATACTGGGTGAGCACTAAAGCAACTTTCCCATTACCTCCTAAAAGGTTCATAATTGAATATAAATACAGTTATCTGGTATTTTAAAGTAAAAGCAGCCGACTATAGTTATAAATTACTATTCGTACTTCAATATAAAAGACATCAACGACTACTAAGAACAATAATTCAAATTAAAAAAAGGGTAAAAGTCAATACTCTACAGTTTGTGTACAGCTCATGAATTATTCATTTCTTATCTTATTAATTGTCTTGTCTGTCGTGTTCACTACTTCACCTCGCCACTAGTAAAATGCATTATTAATGTCGGCTTGACTACTGTCAATATTGAGTATAATAAGCAGTTTAAATACTAATTGCCGACAATCTATTAACAAATAAATACTCGCGTAAAGGTTTTTACAATTTACATCTTATTTATGTACTAGTATATCTACAGTATGTACATTTTATCGCTTGGTCTCGAGCTTAAGCGTTCAATTGTGAACTCTTACAAAAACTAACACATGTAAGGGTCAAATAAGCGACCTTTATTACATAACGAGTGACTCAGCTAACATAATATGGTATAAATTATTATGTACTTGAGCATTAGTAATGTTGTTTGTTATCATGTGTCGAATGTCTGTCAGGTGTCAGCAACGCAACAAGCGACAAGTTACAACTGATCTATAATCATTAAGTTTCTTTTGTACAGATGCCACAGCTCTAACAGTTCGCTGTTGTATCAAATAATTAAATCTCGCAAATCTGTTGACACCCGCCGCGCCTCACTCACACAATGTTATGGACTTAGACTGCTTAATGTCAGCGATAAACCCTTACACGATGACAGCTTTGGTAAAAATTAAGAGAAGATACCTTTTAGTTGTTTATAATCAGATAAAATGCTTATGTTTACATTAAATTATTCTTTAAAACTTCTCATCAATCGACGCAGCACGTGGCTGTGAGACGCGCAGACAAACATGTTCCACTACACTACTACGTTTCTTAGAAAACGGATGTGAATCTTAATAAGTGTATATTTCAAAGAGGATATAAAAAATGTAAACAATTACGTAATGTGTGTCATCCATCATGGTTGTATATCATGATCGCGAGTGCTCAGCCGCGGGGGACAGAGGTCGGCGCTGACTACATTAACTGACTAATTACACGACTTTGAGATATTTTACTGTTTTCTTACATTGGTGTAAAGATCAGCAGACCGCAAAGCGCGGGACAAAACACACAACGATGTTAGCAGTGCCGCTTACAGCAAAGTTATATTAAAAATTAGAGACATACAAGTATGATGAAACACATTTGGTATTCGCTATCACTTAACACGACTAAAAATAAAATGTTAGAGTACTAATCTAAATTTATAAATTGTGTAAACGTAGCACGATCTGAAATTTGTCTTATGACGAATATTTTTGTAGCGGTAACCGCACTGTGAGCTGACGGTGACACAGTGGCCCGCGCTGCTCCGACAATACAACAAATCCGCCATACAAGTAGACATTGTTTGTTTGCCCAGTTAAGGTCTGTACACACTACGGGATATAAATTATCGTGTGCGGAATAGGTGTGTGTTCAAGTAGTTACCTGTTAACATACATCGTAATTAGTATGAATTTATGAATATTTTATTGACTAAAAATCTTTTTATTAAGAGCTACATCCTTATTTGTTCACTTACGTTTACCTAACTACGTCCTATTTTATCTGAACTTGTAACATTGTATGTGCCTCATCTTTAATTATATATTTGCTCGCCAGGTGGCCGCGCCCAAAAATGTGCTTATTCCTTCGTCGCTTGACTGTGACTCGCTCGCGCCTAAAAGAAAACATTCTAGTGCGCAGGCGCAGCTAATGTAATTCGGCAACTGTAAGCATTTCTACGCCTAGATCTAGTGCCTATTGTTTGGCGCGCCGCGGCCTGCTTTTAAATCGATTATTGATGCTTTTTAGTATGACTACAGGTCTGTGGGAGCAACGGTCCACGTACGATACAACACAACACAAAAGTTCGCATCATTTAGCATAGGTTTGTAGCGCAACAATCAACTGAAACAACCGGCTCACTACGATTGTGGTAGGAATCGAACTCGGACAAGTAACAAATAAAGCTTCCGACATCTTTAACATTCAGTTACGATCTTGTTCTAGCGCCCATTCACATAGAAAATAAACAGCTAACTCTACCTCATGGTATTATTTACTGCGTAAAACATTGTTTTTTTACAACACGGAACAAAGTTGAAATTACTGATTACACTTTAAATACATAAACGGACAAAAAATCTCATTTTGATTGATAGCAATGTAATTGGATATTGTAAAAATATTAATTCGTTATTTATTATATGTATTCGTGACCTTGCCCCCCCCCCCTTTCCAGGAAATACATGACTAGACGTCGTAAATTATTTATGCTTTTTCTTTTTTCAAAAGTTTTATTTCAACTTCGACACGGTAATTGGACACCGCATCCTTAAGTTAGTCACTAATGTGACAGGCCCTTTACAGTTTTACGATAGAAAAAGAAAAAAGTCAGTCATTTAAAATCGCAATTTTTAAAATGTTTAATATTAACGATGTAAAAATTAATAAAAACCTATTGTAACATATGTACTAAGATCTTTGTGACAAAGGTCAAATTAATAATACAGACATGATATTGTAAACAAAATGCACCTGCGCTAAAATGTACTTCTACGACCCGAGAGCATTAACTATTTGTAATGTAAATCCATGTTTACCGTTTATAACGCAATAAAAAGTTTAAAACCGGCATATGATTAAAAATCTCATTTTATTTTTAACAATAAAATAATCGCAAACAAGTCAAAGGTTAAAGTTTAATCTTTAAACAACGTATTAAAAAAAACATATATGTAGTGGTTGGGATCCTTCGAACCAATAATTTAGTATTCACGTTTTTCTAAAGACATCTGATGTTTCATGTTTAAGTTACAATAACTATTTAAGCTGCAAGAAATACATGATTGAGACGCGAGCAGCCTCGTCTTGTTGACCAACACTTGCTTGTAAATAACAACACCTATTTGTTTACGTTCACAAAGTGATAAAATTCCATAGTAAAGGAGTTTATACACACGCGACGCGTACAGCCTCTTGTGCGGCAGATGAACATTTTCTGTTAAACAGGATGTGCGTCCACAAGGAATGGTAAACATTTCTCTTTGTTCATTTTAAATTCATTGTAATTTTAACTGCTTTTGCTTATTGCATTGCTGGCTTATTTTCCAATTTATTTTAAGTAATGCGACTATAACACAGCTACAACGAAAAAGCCATCCTTAACAGAATGCAGCAGGGCACTATCGGCTTATAACGATGCAGAGAACTTAGAATTTGCTTCAAATGAATTGATTAAAAGGATGTAGGTAAATTAATCTATACATATATCTTACTAACACATGACTCACGAGCCGTAGCACAACTGGAAGCTTCTGCTCGGGCATTGCTTTGCTCACAGTTTTCGAGACATCTACCAGAACTTCTTTCATATAATTCTCTAACAGCTATGATTATAATTTTATAAATAATTAATTGATTTATCTTTTCCTTCAAATGATATCATCAGGTGTCGGGTTACGCAACCTTACAGGAAAAACCCAATTTTGTCTATGAGATGCCGACCTCCGCTGATATTTGGACAGATGACAATTATAGCGAAATAAGTGAAGCTGTCAGCTACAAAATTAACACAAATATGTTATCGTGGGACAAATTATTGTGAATTTAAAGTGACTCAATTTTATGCGGTTTCTAGAAGGTACGTTTATTGATTTATTTAAAAATATACGTAGGAACGGACTCAAGTTAACCTTACTATTATTAGTGATGAGGTAACGCCGGCTCTGGGGCTCATTAATATTTGTTATCGAGTAAAGTTCGTCGCATTTTATATCATTTACATATCTTTCGAGTCTTTTAACGAGAGCAAAAGATTAATTCCACCATATTTACAATGCAAGAATTATTATTAAAGTATTGTGTATCTATGTTTGAATAGATTCCTTTTCTGTAATCTGTTTAACACACATTATTTTGCGGACAACAGCCTCCGCAGCTTACGCTTTCCGATTGTGTGTACGGGACTTTACAAGCGTTAGACAAAAACGAACTGGTAATGAACTCAATCAATAGAGATCAACGGCGTCCGTGTGTCTCGATGTGTCGACCGTGAGCGGGGACACCTAGTCCAGCGTACTTGTGTGCTTAGCACCTAAACGTATGTGTAACTGTCCTGTCAATACGTAGTACGTACATACCTGTGCGTGCTAATTAACTTTACTATTATTACTTGGAGATACGATATTACATATGAACTGTAGCAAATTATATGATAAAATACGCGCCGGTGAATTATATTTTACATTAAATTTTGGAACTAAATACTTCTATCTTTTTAGAATAATAAGTGTAGAGCTGTTAGTAACGAATATAGATACAGTATTTTAATGTAAAAATTAAAAATACGTTAACATAAGCGCTCTAAGATACTGGCGGGTTTTAATAAATAATGTTCATCGAACTTATTGGACCTTGAACCTACGTAGACGTTAAATGCCATTAATTATTGCCATTTCTGTCGCACAAAAAGTGTTAATTAATTGCAATTAATTGCAACGTAAAGTAACTATTAATTAATCGTCAATCATGTTAAACCTGTCTCAGTGAAGATGTAAGGACGATACCGAACTATCCTAGAGATTCTCCTCCTATCTGATTAATTACATAGGACAAATTCTCTTTCATATAATTCGAACTAATTATAAAAGATTGATCACACGGTTGACCATAAGCATATGTAGGTTCAAACATGATTCCCAGTACCCGTTTTATTTAAATTTTATTAAACATGTTTTATCAAGATATGAATCCAAAGATATTAACTATTGATTTTTTACTTTTTAACACAAAGGAACGAAAATGAAATAAGGAAGGATATAAATGAACGAAGAGCACCAGGTGATTGCTTTATTCCTTAAATATATCCTATCGTGAGACGAGCATCACTTACAAAACCTATGTCTCACAGTCGCGCTTCTCGGACCTCGTCCCGGTTGTACCACGTATCGAATGTCTCCCAACTAATCTGACATCTGACCGCAAACCTCCCAATTTACATCTGACACCCGTGATTCATACGAATTTCCTTTGAACTGTATCATTACCATGAGGATAAATATTACCTGCACACACATTCAATGATCAATTTAGACGTATTTAATTCAGATGTTACGAGTTCGAATCTATCTCTTGTGTTTTAGTTGTGCTTTTTTCAAGCCTCCTAACATCTCGTTTGTGACAAGTAGTTGATTCTTAAAAAAATCACATTCAAGATTTAGATACATGGTTTTGTTGTCGAATTCAAGAAATTATATCCGTTTGTTATTACCACGTATGTTTTAGTCATATTGCGGTCGACGGGATAGTTGAATTTCTGTATTTACATCTTAAAAAACCCAATTCTCAAACTGGTGAGCCATATTTGTTATAAGAATCTTTTAACAAGTGAAGTTATTACAGAATTCGAAAAAAAGATATATCCTTGAAAAATACAAGCTGCACCGCTATAATTCGAACTTAGGAGTCCTATGTCGTAATATGTTAGCTTACTCACAGTGCTATCAGAGATTCTTTTAAGGAGCAACATCATATATTTTAACAACAAAATACAAGCAAATATAGTTACACAAATTATCTTGAGTGTAACTTAATGTGTTTAATATTAATTTTAATTAATATAAGCACCTTACGATATAAGAATTCATAAAACAGGACAAAAAGTTAATTAGCGCTAATTAAGACGGAGCGCGGATTTTGATCACGAAGATTGCATTTTTTTATTGATTTCCACATGTTGGTTATTATGTAGATGGTCGGCAGCGCAGTTGTTCTACGTGTGACGCGAACGTAGGTAATCTATATCAGTTCAGGTTCGATCCCCATATACAGATGAAATTTTAGTTTTCAAATATCATTTCCGATGTTGGAAGTTCTTAAACGGATACAACCTGAAACTATTTTTATATAACGAGTAGTCTATGGACGATTGTTCCGTTCACAGAGATTAATTCAGACACGCAATAACAAGGTTAATATGGTATACAAAAGTTTTATTTCTCTCTCTAACTCGCGATATCAAAAATTACCAGGACCCTATTCTATCCCTCTTGTTCAAAATAATCTTTAGAAACTCACACAGCATTCACACAGCAAAATTCAAATTATGATAAATGCGTCAAGTTTATAATTAGTTGGAATAGCATTGAAATCATTCATTTTTCGTAAACCCGATGAACTCGTTTTGTTATGAAAAAAGATATTGTCCAAAAGCTAAGCACGATGGATACATACATTTAAAATCCCTTAGAATATGTGAGATAGTACTCACCGCCGCCGCCGCAAGCAAAGTCGCGAATCGTAACATGTCTGTGATCTGTCTGTGTATCAGCCGCGCTCACGTCTGCTCCTGCGAGATAATACCTTGTTGTAGCGATGCGCGCGCTCGGCTATATACAGCCTCCGGCGGCGGTGACGTCACCGCGCCCCCGCCCGCACCCCTCGCCCGCCGCCACACGCCCGGGAACACGTTCCGAGACTCATCTTCACGATTCCTGAGCTCCATTCGTCATACATTGACTCGTCAACACCCGGCTGATGGTCACTGTCGTGTGTAGCGCGCAATGGACGATAATTTTCTTCGCTCGTCGATCGGATGTTTGTCTTATCCACTGTCAAGGTGTTATTACGAGTGGCGCACGTCAAATGCCTATATATGAATAAGTCGTTTAGTGGAATTAGCGGCAATTGATAACATTCAAAAACGCCGTAGCCGTTAAAATTAGAATAGTAGCGGTGCGAGCTACGACCAATGTTTACGTCACATGTAATCGCTACCGCTGCGGTGTACGAGAAGAGTACATACGGTGTTTACGTCCTTTTGACTGAAATCCTAAAAAAACATCATAGCTTTACTTTTGTTGGACAGTAAAATTATTAAAAAAAAATGCAATTCGTGATAAAAAAAGCACTACATTTAGTCTGCGTTTTTATTGTTGCATATTTAACTGAGATTTTCATGATGTCTACACTGCAACTATACCTAGTAGTTAGCTTCCTCATAAACACATATGATGAAAATTTATGGGCAAGTTTAATTCCCTTTATTACTTAAAATGTCTACTTTTCCCTATAGGAACGCATCCGCATAGTATCTGCGATACAACTACTAAGGTACGAGTATATGCAGTAAGCAGTCCTCAGTTTCCTCATAGCACAATCGGCGAAAAGAAATGACTGAGCTTTGAGAACCGCGTGCCGCGCCAGCTGACGTTGATTTTTAATACTACAGGATACTAGCTGACGCCCGTGACTTCGACCGCGGGAAATTAAAAAAAACATAATTGGTAGTCAAAGTGTTGTTTCTAACTATGATCTACATCTGTGTCAAATTTCAGCGAGATCCGATAATCCATTTTGCAGATGTTTATCTAGTAACAAATATCTATCCATCTAAATTTTCGCATTTATAATGTAAGATGATAATAAAAACATACCAACAATTGGTTTGAAGTAAGTAGTAAAGTTTAACTCCTAGAACTGTAAACTACCAGACCGGCTTGACTTCCAACGCTGCCAACTCAACCTACGTTGTTGTTTGTTTGACCTTTCAGAAAAAAAATGGTTATTAATATGCAATAGAGTTTGCGATGGAAAGAGGAGAATTAATAAAATAAGTCAAACGACTCTTTTTATGAAAATACGTATAATTTTATATAGGATCATTCTTTAAAAAAAACAAAACCGACTTCCAAACAAAATACACGAAAAACAAAACAAAATGCACTAAAAACAAAACAAAATACACCAAAAACAAA